TAGGTTTTTTTTTTTTTTTTTTTTTGTTTTTTTTTTTTTTTTTTCACCTGTACGGAGCCATGCCCTGAATTGGCTGTGATTGGCCTTTGTCACCGTCGCCGCTAGTAAGTTGTTATTATTGTTATTCTTTCTGATCTGTGACACCCACAGCAGCAGCACTTCCCGTACGAGTGCAAGGCTACTAAGCGTGACGAGCAACCCTTTGTGGAACAAGCATCAAACAAATCATCTCTGCGCCACCATTGCGCACAAGAAAAAAAAAATTGAGGAGAAAGGATCAGCAGGCACAGCAGGTACCACGGCCAAACCCGTAGCTTTTGCTGCTTTGGATTATCTGCAAACAACCCCGGAATCACAAGGCTGTCGTTTGCAAAACCCCCAAGCCCACAGCCCCCCCCCCCTCATCTGCCTAGTACGGGCCGTACCTAGATTGCGAGTTCCAGACCGTTGCCGTGGCGCTATTTTACCCAGCCACACAACCTTTTCTCTTTTCTTCTCCCATCGCGCCCGAAACCCGTTTGCCCGTTCGTTCGTTTCCGTTGTCTAGTGAATAAGTCACTCAGTCATTCATCCTTGACCCATCCATGTTCTCTCATTCTACGCGCCGTTTCCACTGGCAAACTGAGCAGCATCTCGAGATTGAGAGCCAAATCAGGGCGTAGTTGCTCAACAAAGCTACCATGCATCCTGTGCTCTGGGTGAATCGCGAAAGAACCTTCTTGTTCCCAGGCACCGACCATGATATCAACCTAAGCAAAACAATTGATTAGTATTGCAACCAGTGGATTGCAAGAGAAAAAAAACGCACAACGACTCACCGACCATGGGTCAACAAGGTTCGTCACGTCCACGGTCACATCATCCAGACTGAATGTCGTGCCCGCCTCTCTCTGCAAATTGATCAAAGTATTGAACACTGACTTGTCCACAAGCTGATTTTTTTGCTTCTGGGTAGCTGCCAAGACATCCTGCGGCGTGCGAAATACCTGCAAGTCTTCTCTCCTCCGCGCCGTGTAGCACATCTAGCCACGAGTGCTCCGTATGACCAGTGCCACCAAGCTCAGAAAAGGCAATGCTGCCTAGTAGCAAGTCAAAAACGGGCCCTACTGCCTCGTCCATTTCTGCTGATCGCTTTCGCGAAGCAACTATAGCGCGGCTCCAAGTCGTCATATCCCGTGACATGGGTAGAGTGCATCCAGTCCTGCATTGGAGAGCCGACATACACACTTTCCACTTGGTCGTCCTTCAACAACTCAGAGAGAGCCGCTGCATCGTGCGAGTCCAGGGCTATCCCCGATACAGCGTCCCAGTTCCAGGCTCTGCTTCGCAGTGTCTGGCATCAAAGAGTCCATGTCCCACATCTCATGGACCTAGTTGTGGATGCGACCGGCTCGCTCATTCTTACTGTATATGGTAATAAATGATAGCCTTTATGCATGGCCTTTTCGGTATTTATATTATCGCCGTTTGAGATGACGAACCTCTCTCTATTGGATGTTATATATATGAAGTGGCTAGCATGCCTCCCACTCGGGCTTTTCAAGGATGCAGACAATAGTCTTCAGTCTAGTCTTGAGATTTCTGGAGACGTCTAAAAGCCATCTGAGATTCAGTTTTGCAGACTCATTCTCCGAGACAACGCCGCCCGCGAATTCCAAGTCCTGGTGGACCCGGATAGCGTCGTCGAAGTTGGCAACGAGTTGGTCAATGTTGCGTGCCGCGGAGAGAACGACTAGACGTTTGAACATGGCATTATCTTGCTCGGGCAGCTGGTAGAGTCCGAGAGTGAAGTGCAGGTTATCACTGGCAGGTCCGCCGATGAATGCGGACGGGTTCTTTGCAATGACACACATTAACGCCACCTGGCGCTGATGAAGCATGGCCAAATTCATCAGGCAGGGACAGCTGCTACCGCAGTGAGGACAGTCCAAATAGCTGGCGATGTGTGCGGCTGCCTCCTGCAGAGAGCAAAGAACTGTATCGAGGGCGAATGTGGCTGGCGTCTTGACAATGGCGTCGATGCGGTGAACAAACGACTGATTGAGTACGTAGCAATTGCAGGGGCTTGCGTTCCAAAATTCATTTGCAGCAGTGTCGGTAGGCAGGCCAAGGTTGAATGGGGAGAGTGCGTCACCAGAGATAGGCATCGGGAGAAAGCTGGATGTTGATGGCTGCATCATATTGTGCGGCACATCTTCCAGGGTGATGTCCATCTATGTCGTGCAAGTTCTTGTTAACGGCGGCCGAGAGACAAGAAGAGTTACCTTGTTATCGGAATACACGTACGGGTGCCATAAGGTTATCAGCACCTAGCCAAGCGTCGCTTGAAGCAAAGATACTACTTGGCGTGGAGGAGGCGGCGAGAGACGACGAGGAGCTGTCCCTCGAACTTGGGTGCCTCGCCTGACGCCCGCCTTGGCGCTGTGAGATGCTGTACACGCAGGACAATGCATTGGATGACGACTTTGTACAGCGGGTGCAGGGCTGCCCACCCGAGCACTTGACACGAGACCGTCTGCAGTTATCGCAAGAGTGGCAGTACTTTTGCGTTGCGCCGCCTAGCACCCTACCATTTAGTGCAGAGATGTGCTTCTGGCTCGCCCTAGCGTCCCATTGTAGAGTATATCCACTAGGAATCTGGCTTGAGTTGACCATTGCTCTATGGCGCTATCGTATGTCGGTATAGATGGCTGGGCAAAGCGGCCGAGCCGTTGGTGGCTAGGTAGGTATCAGTGCATCCATTCTAACGCATGCGAATCCCAGTACTCGACGGTGCACGGGCCATATCCCACGACCAGCTCTTCGTTATGTTATCACTGGTTTTGTCAGCACCTACAACAGGTGCCAGAGGACTCACTACGCGGACGGCGAAGAGTGGTTATTAATGGGGGCCGATGTATATTGGATAATGAAGAGGAAGTATGTGGGATCATATTTACCTTCTTTCCAAGTCCTTCCTTCAGAGCAAGTACTGAGCGAGTAACACCACGGACAGGGGAACTTTTCATGGCTTGAGTGCAAAGGGCTACCATCGTCCACTGCGAAAACGCCAATTAACCACTACTAATAAACAGCCTTCCTGAGTTTTTTTAAGTAGATTAATATTAATACCTTAATACTAGTATCTTATATAGGTCTATTATACTATAATCATTTTTCCTACGACGCCATTGCCACGATAGCTAAGTTTAGCAACCTAATCGCCTAGTGTCTGTCATTCCAGGCCTCGATCTCTTCTTGAAGACGACAATGCTAGTAAATGCGACGGTGCCAGCGAACACCATTGTGGCCGAAAAATTAAGCCCGCCACTAAATTTACCCTCTTCCGGCTTGATGATCGTTCCAGCAATAGGGGTTCCGATCAAGAAGCCAAGACCGGCAAAACAGAAGCACATGCCCATCCAGGTCCCCATGAGCCGGAGCTCTGGCACCAGCGCCGCGACGACAGTGGTGGGCAGAGACACGACCACGCCCGAGAGGAATCCATAGAAGATGCAGAATACCACGATACCTACGAGGTTGTAGATGACCAGCCAGCAGTACGCCAGGAGCGAGGATAAAAGTGAGGTCACCATCAGGACTTCGAGAGAGCCAAACTTGTCGGCCAGCAATCCCGGTATGATTCGGCCGGCGAGGGATGCGGCGTTCAGAACAGAGAGAAGGTAGAATGAAATGTCGCCATCGAGCTTAAGCTTGCTTTGCGCGTAGATGATGACGTAAAAGAACGGCACGTATAGACCCATGAAAGCCAGCACCAATCCGAGGCACAAGGCGTTAAAGGGAGCGTACTTGAATGCGCTCAGGTTTAGGAGCGCTCGTAATTCTTTGGGGTTCGGCACGCGGGTTCGCATGATGAGGATGCTGATGGTGAGTGTAAACAGGGCGAGGAAGCCAATGACTCTCGTCGCCCACGCGAAACCGACCTGTGACAGCAGCCTCCGAAAGACAATCGGATAGATGACACTGCCGATGCTGCCGCCGGCCGCCACGACACCCGTGGCAAGGGCACGCTGGGTGGTAAAGTACGTGGCGACAATGGCGACGCTGGGGAGGAAGAGGCACCCGGCGCCGAGGCCGACGACGAGGCCCTGCGCGAGGAACAGCTGCCAGTACTGCGTCGCGAGGCTCGTCATCATCATGCCGAAGACGACCAGGAATGTTCCGCTGATGAGGAGCGCTCGGTGGTAGCCGAGATCGAAGAGCGGACCGCTGACGATGCTGAACAGGATCAGGAGGAAACCCTGGACGGTGCCAATCCACGAGATTTGGGATCCGGAGTGCGAGCGCAGCAGGTCACTTTCGTAGTACGCCTGGTAGGCACCGAATGTGTTGATAATGCCCCTACGGGGTTGGGGTGCTAATAAGTTTTTGTCTTTGGGGCTCAAGAAAAAAAAAAAAGCTGAGAGCTCGGGGTGAATATGGTACATACCAAGAGTTAAAGAAGAGCAAATGCGCTCCAAAGACCTGAAGTCATGCTTTCCACCCGCCATTGGGAATGGGCTCAGTAGCGGGCGTATTAGCCGCCGAAGAGTCGAGCTTCTCTTTGACAGCGCCGCCTTGTTCTAACGTGTAAGCATATTCAGGGTCATAATCTATCGAGGTGTGGTCTAGGGTAACGGATTGCGTCGAAGCGATGGGTCTAGACATAGCGAAGAAGCACACAGCACACCGAGGAAATAGCGCTTTAGTAGAGGTTTGAAGATTGTCTATCAGAGTCAATTCTTTTATAGTAGAGGACGAATGACGGTGAAAATGTATTATTTCTTGGGAAATGACGGTGTTTTCAACGTTCGCGAGATGGCTTGCATATTGAAAGACTTCCCAATCGGGCAAGTCGCTCAGCGAAGGTCCAAATCGGGAAATATGATTAATTTAAGCGAATTTGTAAGCAGATGTGCTACAAGTTATTTCCCCACCCCGTAGTGGGCCAGCCACGCCCCCTAGCGACCGTTCATCCCGTTGCATCACATCCAGTCCAAGCTGAACCACGAGGCCCTGCCAATCAGTGTCCCATCTGCTTTCTCAAATTAGTTACCCGACAACTGGCGCATCACGCACCCCCACATCTGCCAGCTTTTCCCTTTACCTTGGCTGTTTTCCGACGATAGATTGCTCCGCCATGGACCCAAGGGTAAGCAGCCTGGTCCGTTCATCAAGACGCAAACCTGATGGCGGTAGAAATTCATGGCCCCAGCCGCCGCGTTCGCCATGGCTTCCGTGCTGTTTGTGTAGGCAATGCGTCGTCATTCACATCATTCTTTGGGCGTGCCGTGTTGACAATGTGGTAGCTATACGCGACTATCGATCCGCTCCGCTCGGAGTCAGACAGTATGCAAGTCGCGGACAAACAACTCTACACACCGCTAACAGACGACAGCGACGGGAATAAAGGGAACCGGCAGCTACAAGGAACGCACTCATGGACAAAGCAACTCAGAATGAAACACAACGCCGTGGCCATTACCGTTTGCATGACCGGCCTAATTGATCACTCATATCAGCTTATTCTTAATACAAGCACCATTTCGTTGAATCTCGACAAAGCAGTGTTGGCTGGGCGGCTGTGCTCGCCAGTGGCTTGGATGATGATCAACGAAGTCTCACATGAGCTGAAACGGATTCAACCCCTCTTCGCAAACTACACGGATCGCGCCTACGGATAAGCTGGTCAAAAGTATTGACGCCAACTTCGTGCGGTGCCCAGAAGGCTCGAAGATGAAGGAATTACGAGTGCCAAATGTTAGACCCAGAGAGATAGTCTGTATGAGCGACATGCATAGGCGTCTTGCCTCGTTTAACATCTGGATGGATATCCGCTTCCTGTTCCAACTTCTGGAACCAGTGCCTCGCGCTGGCGGGGATCTTGGTTCTGAAGATACTTCGGTGTAAATGAGACATCATGGGCTGGGTTATTATTGCCACAGGCACCCTCCTCAGTATCTCCTATTTCGTAGCGGGTCTGGCCAACTGGTTGACTGGCAATCCAGCGCAGCATTGTCCACGCGTCGCTGCTAGGTTTCTCGCCTGAGAGGTCCATAGTCCGCGACTGGCGTAGGACGAGCTTGTTCTGCTTGCCGTCAAAATGGGCCTGTGTAATGCGGCCGGTCTGATTTCGCATAACTGTCGCGAGAAGGACGGGTTTCGTATGGTGGCTTGTATAGATGCCGTTCCGGAGCTGGTGCTTAACTAAGGCAGCCGCCGCTTCGGCCTCTGAGAGTAGGATGGCGTTCTCGTCTGGAGTTCCCGAGTCAAGGACGAAGCAGGAGGCATGAGGCATATCTAGTTCCTCATGCGTGAGCATAACCCACCTACTATAGGACTCGTGATATATGGCAGTATGACGAGGCCGGTAGAAGAGGCGTAGGGGCAGATGCAGCCGTAGTTCTTCCCAAATGCAATCAAGATTGCTATTAGACGTTAGTATCTGACAACGGCAATAACATCATCTCGGATTATGCGGTAGGCTACTTAATTGGCACATACCACCAAGAGTTCCAAAGATCTGGTACGAGGTCAGATAACCTCAGTAGACATTCTTCAAACCACCGGCTCCGGATGTCGGGAATCTGTAGATTGATCGCTGAATCCAAGATGACGTGTTCCATATTGCGCCAGAAACTTCTCTGTGACCATGTTTTGTACTCTAGCACATCGTGGGGCCAGTCGCAAGGCAAGAAAAAAGTGCTGGCAGTATCCGATAGGGAGCTTAGACTCCCGTCCACGTCGAGCGGCCTACCCAGAGTAATGGACAAGTCGCTAAGCGCATCTTTTGCTATAGTCGGCACTTCGATTCTCCTCAGCGACTTAACAATTTTGCTAAGCTTGTCAAACTGGATTCGCTCAATGGCCGCGCGTTGTAGCTTGTCGGCTTCGGTCAAGTTAGCGGGAGACACGCTAGAGGCACCGCAGGACATTATTCTCGGCCGAATTGCCTCGTCGGGTAGGTTTGATGCTCGATTGAAAGTAGTGCTGCAGCTAGGTGAGCTTTATTCTTTTGCAGGTTGAGTTCTGTTCGTGATGGTGGTTGTGCCACAAGGATGCCTGGCAGGCGTTTGCTCTTTGGTAGGTATGTTATTATGACAAGTTGTCATGGAAACCCCACTTATTATGTAGTGTAACTGGACCGTTAACCGGTATGTATGTTAGGATTGGCTGCGCAGAGCATAATTATTATTAAAGCGGCATGCTCTAGCCATACATAGCATCGACAGCTTCCCAGTAGACGACTCTGCACGTCTGCGGAACAAGGACGAGGTGCACTGCTTAGGCTCGGTGGGGGAGCGTGTTTCTCCTGTGGCCTTGCGCTCTTGTTTGCATTTGAAGAAATAAAAGTATGGATGTAAGTGTTGGGTGAGTGACGGACTTCATGCGCATATGGCCCGTCAATCACGGAATACTTGTAGTCTAGAAACTGAATTCGTCCTTTTTCTCCCATTTCCTTTTCATGTATATTTTTAGTCATTTGTGTAAGCGTCCACGCAGAAGTGAGCGCCTTCGCGTGTTGTCCATCACTCACGACGACCAGCCAGCCTTGCACTACACTTTCAAGCAAATCATGCCAATGACCAACTTTGCATGCGTTGATCAAACTTGATCGATCTCACCAATCAAGTCTGAAAAGGCTCAAATTTCCAACTAACCATATATAGCGGTCGTTAAACTGCCCTACACGGCATCTGATTTTTGAATATTGACTGCCGGGTAGCTGGCCCGGCAAATCATCGGTTAAGCACCAACCAACCAATCCCATCACTGGCAATAGCAACTCCAACTCACGAAGCTGACCACGACACTCTCCCTCCAGTACAAACCATACACGCCAACATGTCGGCCAATGCGGTAGCCAAAGCCGCGGGCGGCGTTGTTTCCATCACCAAGGTAAGCATCCTTTCCTCTGCGACGATGCCAATGGATGCGCAGACAACGATAAGCTTGCGCCAAAAATAAAAATACGCTCGGGAATCCGACCACACCGAACCGAAACTAACCACCCCGACCACGAAACAGAAGCAAACCCTCCAATCGACCGGCATTTGGGAATCGATCCGCAAGGCCGTCGCTATCGACCCGAACCGCTCCAACGGTGTGCCGCTGAACCCGTACTACCGCCTGCCCGCGCCGGGGTCCAACGACCCGGCCTCCTTTGTCGACCCCGTCACCCTGCCCGCGGGCGACATTGCCGGCAACCCGTACTGGAAGCGCGACACCCGCCGCAACTACCCGCAGCTCAGCGTGGTGAGCCAGGCCGATGTCGTCAGCTTGCTGACCGTCGGGAGCGCCGCCAGCCCCAAGGTCGAGCTCATCGGCGCGGCTGGCGACAAGGCGCTCGTGGCCGCGAAGCAGGAGGGTCAGACAACCGGTCTGGCCAAGGCGCTGGCAAAGGCTGCCCCCAAGGATGTCGCCAAGGACCTCTTTGTCAATGGCCTGCCGCCGCTGCCGAGTGGACAGTCGCAACTCTCCTCGGGAGAATGGAGCGTGCACAAGTACGAGCTGACTGACCGGTCGTATCCTGAGGGGTAAGTTGTGAAAGATGGTCAGAAAGACTTGAATCGGAGGCTAATGTGTTGCAGATACCCTTGCAGATCATTTCAATAGAGGAGGAAATAGTGTATATAATGGGGGAGGCATAGACGCCTAGCTTTTTTTGTACTGCTACATGAATAAAGCAAAATACGGATAAATGTTGGAACCAAGAACTTGTGCCGAGTTCATATGCAACGCCACTTGGAAGCCCAGAATGCCTAAACGCCGTACTTCTCATAAGACAAACTCCTGTTACCCAATCATCTTCTCGACCACCTTGGCTTTCCCCTGTGCGCGCTTAAAGCGGTCGTCAAAGTCCTGCACATCCTCATCTGCGTTGGCCGTCGAGAGCGTCTCGGGCTCGACCAGTCCATAGACCATTTTGATATTCTTGGCGAGTCTGGCGTTGTCTGGTAGTGGCGGTAACGTGCAGGTCTGCTGGGGGCCCGAAGCGCCTGTTGCTGGACCAGAGGCCGCACTGGTGGAAGGCGGGAGGCGGTTGGCCCAGACAAGGGCCCGGCTGGCGAGGCGGCCGCTCTCGAGAAACTTGTCAAAGCCGGTGCTCATGCCAAACTGGCGGCCCTCGATGCGCCCGGCGGCTTGGCCGTCCTCGACGCCTTGCTGATAGCCCTGGCGGTAGTAGCGGTCCTCGAGCGTGAAAACGTCGTCGAATGGATCAGACGCCATCCTGCGACGTATGTAGGTGAGACGGTGAACGATGTGGGAGGAAGGATGCGGTGGAAATATTTTGTCCCCCCCCCCACCATCAAGATGGCGGGGCACCGCACAAGTGGCGGCATTCGCAGGTGGATTTGGCGCAAGTTGCGCTTCACGGTCGTTTGAATATTGAACAGCATTTTTTTTTTCCAAAATTTAGTATTCAGTAACCATTCTCCTCTAGGCGGGCCGGACTTGAATTTGGGTTCTGGACGCCATCAGACCAAGATTATTTCTGTTGGTTCCTCTATCTGGCAACGATTTATGTCGTGGCAGGCGTAGTCCAATAAACTCTTTTATACGTCCAATGCCGGATTCTGATCCAATCATTTTGAGACTTTTAAACTATTATCCCTGCCATGGTGGCTTTCTTGTATCACCACTGCTTGTAAGCATTCGCCATCAGAGACATATCTGGCCCCACTTTTCGCAGACGGCTTAACCAGTTAGTGGGGGGAGCGACGGAATATCCACGAGCTTCACTTTTCGACCCGAGCCTCGACATCTGACCACTTTTTGCCGCGTTATCCCGCCATCCCTTGCAGAGTGCGAGCTCGCTATCCAACCCGGAAATCGCGGCTCAGTTTCTCACCGCGTACGCTCGCTTCGCCAGACCGACCGCACGACCCCATTGGATCTCGTCGGCTGTCTCGCGACACATTGCTCTCTTCTCCCATCTACTGCTACCCTCCACGCCAGACAGCCTGCACCGCCCAATATGGATATCCGTCTACTGCGCAACTCGGATTTGCCGTTGATTCAGCATGCGAACCTCGAGAACCTTCCCGAAAATTACTTCCTCAAGTACTACCTCTACCATGCCCTGTCATGGCCGCAACTCAGCTTCGTCGCCGTCGACGTCTCCCGCCCCTGCAAGGGCCCCTACGACTACCCCAAGATTGTCGGCTACGTCATTGCCAAGATGGAGGAGGAGCCGTCCGACGGCATCCCGCATGGCCACATCACCAGCCTGAGCGTCATGCGCACGCATCGCCGGCTGGGCATTGCTGAGAAGCTCATGCGACAGAGCCGTAAGTCACTATAAAGGCGAGAGCCAGTGCGATACGAAATGCTAATCTCTATCCGGCTTGTGTAGAACTCGCCATGGTGGAAACGTACCAGGCCAGATACGTATCGCTCCACGTCCGCGTCTCCAACGTCGCGGCCCGCCACCTTTACGAGACGACGCTCGGTTTTCAAACGGAAAAGACGGAAGCTAAATACTACGCCGACGGCGAGGACGCGCTCTCCATGCGTCTCGACCTCGACTACATCAAGAAGCAGATTGAAGCCGAGGAGGAGGGCGAACAGGCGGCGGCGGCGCTGACCAACGGCAGCAAGACCAATGGCGATCACGCAGACGAGGGCGAGGCAGTGGGAGATGTGGGTCGCAACCCGGACGCCGGTAAAAAGAAGAAGAAGCTGGTCGTGGGTCGGACCAAGGAAGAGAGCAAGTAGTGCTTGGCCTCTTCTCACGGTGAACATGGGAAAGGGCTGGGCAAAAGTGGAGGGTCTGCATATATATCTCGCGTTTTCAAGGCTTAGACAAAATGAAAAGTTTCACGGCCGGCTTCAAACAGGTGGGGATTACAATGATTTAATATTTCCATCCATTCATAACGTCGATATCTTGCGTGGTCTGCGTAGAGTAAAGAGAATATGAAGATACTAATCTGAAAGAAATGCTTAAATGCACAAATACTGGAAGAAGCAGCGGAACTCAATCAAGCCCTTGTTGAAATCATGAAAGTATCAGAGCGGCACTAACTTGGCATAATTCGCAGGAAAGTAGCCGTTCTTGCCCTTGTATGTCCCATGCCACCACTCGTCCGAGGAAAACGTCACGCCCGTAATCTTGGCCCCCGATTTAAAGCTCAAACCTAGACAGCATTAGTCCCAAACTCGTCCCTCATGGTACGTACTCAAAACTCACAATCTTTTTGGCTCGTCAAGTACACAGCCGTCGTAATAGCCGATCTCTCTGGCGCAATGTGCGCGCCCGCTACATGCCGCGCATACTCGGAATCAGCCTCCATCTGCAGCGCCTCGAGCGACTGCGTCATGGACGCCATCGCGCTGTACACGGCGTCCTTGCCGGGCCCGTCCTCCATCGTGTCGGCGCGGTCCTGCTGCGTGCGGATGGCGTCCCTGATGCCCTGCGCGGCCGTGTACTTGGCCGCGGTGGCGGGGTTCGGGGCCGGCGGCGGTGCTTCCTCGGCGTGCTGGTCGCTCTCGGGCCAGAAGCCGGCTGGTGGTCCGTGGTGGCGCCCGGACCAGGACTTGTGCGTGAGAGGCCCGCGAGGCGGCCAGGCGCCGGAGATGCCGCCATCTCGGCCAAAGGCGCCGAAGCCGCCGTGACCATGATGAGGCCAGCGCCCGCGGCTGCCACAGTGGCCAAGATCATGGCGAGATTGGCTTTCACGGTGGGGGCGGTGGTCGTGACAGCGCACGGATGGTGGGCTGCGCATGCTGGGAGGCATGGCGGGCGCTGCAGGCATACAAGGCATTGACGTCCCACGTGGCATAAAAGGTAGGGATGGGCCATGTGGTGGCATCGGCGGCATTGGGGGTGCCGGAGGCATCTGCGCGCCATGCCATCGTCCGTCCTTGGCCGCGCGTCGCACGTCCTTATGCGACCTCTTCATGTCCCTTTTCCACTGCTTGCGCTCGCGCTTTTCCTGCCTGCGCTGCTTCTTGCGCGCACTACGCGTGTCGCGCAGCGTCTTGTGCTGCTCTCGCTGGATGTGCTTCCACTGCTTCAGCAGCGCTCTGATCTGCGTCTTGAGCTCCTTGCTGTTGACAAAGGGGTCGGCGGCGGCGGCGCGGGTGGTCCGGGACCGGAGCTCGTTTTTGAGCCACTGCACGTCGGTGTTGGTGCGCACGTGGCCGGGCGTCGAGGTCCAGTCGCGCAGGATGGCGAGGTAGCCGGGGAGCTGCTGCTCGCGGACGTCGTCGTAGTCGGGGAGGGAAGCCAGTGAGGTTACGCTGGAGGATGAAGAGGCGGAGGAAACGGACGAGACGGACGAGGTGGAGCGATCGCGGGTGGTGTCTTTGCCTTTGCCTTTGATGCTTGTGTTGACTGCTGATCTGCCGCGTTGGGGCTCCGGTCCCGGGAACCCTGGCATGCTGCGGGTTGAAGGCCCTGCGCCAGCGTCATGGGGATTTCCTGGAGCATCATTCTCATGGCTTGCCATACGAATGCCGCTTGTGTCCATAATAAGAGAGCCAAGGCGGATACCGTTGGCATCCAGGACAAACCTTTTGCCGTAGGTGATGCCGTCGGCGTCCATTCTGAACGACGACGGATTCGGCAACCAGGTATTGCCGGCTGGGATCGACCGATCTTGAGCATCCCTAGGAGCTTCATCGTACTCAATTCCGTCGTGCCCACAGGACGTAATCGTAATGGTCACACCTCGCGGCCCAAAGAAGCCCTCATTCCACTCACACACCGTCGCCAGCGCATTCGCGCGTCGTTGAGCCTCATCCTGCAGCGCCTCCGGTCCAGCCGTGCGCATCACATGTCTCTGCAGTTCGGCCTGCGTCCGCGCACTGCTGACGCTATCCCCGGCCTCGCTCTCGGTCTCGGCGCGCAGCTTCCTCTCCAGCACGACGTCGTTGCGCCGCGTGGTGTGGTCCGGCAGCAAAAAGTTGATAAACGTGGCCCAGTCCTGCGCGTTGATCTCGCGCTTCTCCCAGTCGCTCGGAAACGGGAAATCATCCGGCAGCGACAGGGTCTCGAGCCGCAGGGCGTGCACGAGCGTCGACTGGGGGATCACGTCGGGCGGGGGCGGGGGCCGGGAGTCAAAGTACAGGGCGGCGCCGGGTTGCGGCACGCCGGTGAGGGCGGCGGCGCCTATGGTGGTGCTGCGCGGGGTTTCGGGGGGCGTGTAGATGATGTCTTCGTTGGACGAGGACACACGGGAGGCGACATCGTCGGCGGAGGCGGAGGCGGAGGCGGCGGAGGCGGGGGCGGCCGCTCCAGAGTTGGAGTAGATGTCTGTTTCTGAGTAGGGCGGCGGCGCATCGCCGCCGTGGGTAGGTGCGGCTCCGGACATGATGGTAAAAATAAAAGATAAGTCACGGAGTTGATGTATGAGGATAAAATGTTGGAGGGACGACAGCCCTTTGATACTTGTCAGCCCACGTCACTCAGCCCATGGATGCCTGTTCCGTCAGCCTTGGTGGGTGTGCCTCACTGGAGCTACAGTGTGACACCACACAACACTCGTCAGTGTATTACTGTATCTTGCTTATCATATCTTTTTGTCTTTCGCTATTCTTATCATTATCTTTATTCATATCCCTAATCTTTCTGTTCGTATAGTGTCTCATCGTTATATCATATGTTTTTATGCCATTTTTAATTCTTTTGATCCTTTCGTAAACAAGACGCGTACTGTACTGTGGCTTTTTGTTAGCTTTGTCATTCCTCACATATGTCACTATAGGAGGTACAACTGTGTGTCTTCTCAGCCCTGTACGCGAGCTTGCGTCAGCCCTGTGGGTGAGCTTGCGTCAGCGCTTTCGGTGATTGGGCGAGGCGTGCACTCCGGCAATCTCAACAAGCCGAGCCCAGCCGGAGCCCAAATACAAAACGAGCGGCTACGATGGCTGGCTGTAGATACGTGTGTGCCAACTCGAGAGAAGGTCGCCTAATCAGAAGACATGAAGAGTAGAGATAGACCTGAGGCTTGAGGAGCAATGCTTCACTCGCACAATATTTTGAATAGGTAGATTGGCCATTTAATCCTCCCTGAACTATGTGCAGTAAGCCTCTACCTATCTGGTTGCTCGGTTGACCCTGCTAGTCTTTGTTGAAATACCCCCAAGTTTTCACTAAACCATGCGCTCACCAACGAGATCAAAATTGACGTCTTGGTGCTTGTAATGGTCGGCAATAATGCTGGACAGATAGTCACGCGAGTGTGTCCCCCTATCAAGTGTTAGCATAAACTGATCAAACTGGACCCTCATGATCAACTTACAGATTTGTAATGTACGTGTCAATGAAGGCGGAGGGTACCAGTTCTGTAAGCGCAGAGCGGATCTCGACATTGTTCACCATGGTGCCGTTGGAGAAGTTGACAAAACTTGACGAGTCTCCCCACTCAATCAGACTGTCTTCCGCGAACGGGTTGGCCGGACTGAGCTTGTATACGCCGCCCAACACAATTACCGCCGTGCCGTGCTCCTTGGCCGCGCGCGCAATTGCCGCGGAGCCCGCCGTAGCCATGACACTGCCGTTGGCCACAATGGCTTTGGCGCCGAGAATCACCTTGTCCACGCGCGACATGTACGCCGTAAGCCCCGAGTTGTGGATGTTGATGACGGTCGTGCCGGCCGCCGCCAGCTTCTTGCGCAGCGCTGCGTGCGGCACCTCGGCCGTTGGCGTGCTGGGCGCCTCAATGGCGAGAAAGAGGGTAAACTTTCTCTTTTGCGCCGCGCGCAGGATAAAGCGCTCGACAGTAGTCGACGGGCGGTATGTGAGGACAAAGTCGCCCGGACGGATCTGCGCGTCGGCGAGCGCGGCAATCTGGTCATCCGCCTGGCTAATTTCGTCCATGATCTCCTCGATGCCGTCAATGATCTCGGAGCGCAGGGCGTGTATCTGGCCATAGGTGCCTTTCCACGTTGGTGTTGAGGTGCCCGAGTTATGAAAGGGCGAGCCAGGGCTGCTCGTAGAGTCGACATCGGGGGATGCGGACAGGAGATGAAAGAGCGTCTTGGGCAGGCCGGCCGAGCTCTGCGTGGAAGTGAGCTGCGGTCGCGGCTTCGGGGACGCGTAGCCGTCTGTGTCGGGGCGGGCGGACGCTTCGCTCTGCGTCTCGTCTTCCTGGTCGTGGCGCTCCTCGGCTGCCTCGTCGCGGATCAGGCCGAGTACGCGCCGGACGATATTGCCAATGGCAAGTTCGGTGGGCTGTGCCTTGACGAGCCGGCGGCCGACTTGGGACACGTTGTTGAGGAGGGCATCGACGTCTTGCCATTTCGAGCGCGCGACGACTTGGAGAAGGATGTGGGCGGTGGAGATGGCACAGCGTTCGGAGCCCGTTATCTGGCGCCTTTTGAGAAGCCTGTGGCTATTAGCGAACACGATCCATCGCGACAGGCTGTCACAGCTCGGAGCGCAAGAGTGCATACGAGAGCAGGTTCTCGACAGAGGCATCAAGAGGTTGTCCCTTGAGCGACTTGATCAGTTTCTCCAGATCAGGCGCATAGCCTGCCGAGGCGGACGGCATCGCGAGGGGAGCCTGGCAGCAAGCAGCAAGTGCAAGCTGTTGATTTCTCGTTTGCGGTAGGGGGTAGACTGGGGAGGAATGTATCGTGGTAGCGTCGGTTGCAGAAATTTATATATCTAAACGCTGGTGACGAGGTCAATGGCAACCAGAGATAACTTTGGGTACCGAGAATGGCGTTGCGCGGCGCGAGGGAGCTGTCGCGATTTGGCGATGGATTGTGTTTGTGACTCAAATGTCAAATTTGGCACTTTAACATGGCGGGGCTCCGCTAGCGGGCTGGCGAGACACGGTGTTAGACAAAGTACCTACGATCATAAGAGCATGAATTCTACTATGATGCTCGCTGTATATTTCTGAGAAATTGAATTTTGTACGTACTCTGACCCCACCACACCAGGTTAGCAATTTATAAACGTGCAGTCGTGGCATTTTTCCGGTGTTCATCGTGAGGATAGACTCGCTTGGTAATGAGGGCGGCAAGTACACAAAGAAAGTGGTAAAACTTGGAATAGTACCAAGACTTTCTGCTGCTATTGACTCCTCAATAAATGTAGAGTAGTTGCCAGCCATTTTAAACGCAAAACAGAATATGTAGTTTGCCGCCCAAAGGCTTACTTTCTTTACACCAGATGTGTTCGACTGAAGCTTTCCTAACGTTAGTCCGCCACCACCACCTTTGGCTGCCCCCACTAAAAATTGTTAACACGCTGGTCGATTACAAGCTCTCACTATTTTGTTGCCGCTTGTCGCTTGTTCTTGACAGCGACACGCCTTCGTCTCCTTACTCACCCACTCTCTCCGCAATCCGACTAGATGCAGTGCAGCCACTCCTTTCTACACGCTCCAGGTTTCTAATTCCATAAAGACCGCAGCGTCGTCTTTTATCCAGCCATCTGTTCCGTATCCGGCGCTGTGGTAGCCATGTTAGCCAAGATCGTCACGCTGGTGCTGGTGCTGTTCCTGTCGCAGCTTGCACTCTGCGCAGAAGATTACTACAAGGTATGTCGCCTGGTCGCTGAGACGCATCATCTATCTGGCTAACATTGTGTTAGATTCTTGGCGTCGATAGATCTGCCAGCGAGAAACAATTAAAGACGGCCTACCGTCAATTGTCCAAAAAGTTTCACCCAGACAAGAACCCGTACGCCCATCATCCCCTAGCAAGTACTCGAGATAAACATTAACCAGCGTCTAGTGGTGATGATACCGCGAAAGATAAGTTTGTTTCCGTATCCGAAGCCTATGAAGTCCTGAGCGACGCCGAAACCCGCCAAATCTACGATCGACACGGCCACGAGGGTGTCCAGAATAAGCGCAACGGAGGTGGCAGTGGCGGCGATCCCTTTGATCTCTTCAGCCGTTTCTTTGGCGGCCATGGCCATTTTGGCGCTTCCCCTGGCGAGCCTCGCGGACACAACATCGAAGTCAAGGTCGAAATCTCCCTCCGCGATTTCTACAACGGTGCGACGAGCGAGTTCCAGTGGAACAAGCAACACATATGCGAGACCTGCGAGGGTACCGGAAGCAAAGACAAGCAAGTCGACCACTGTGCGACCTGCAACGGCCACGGTGTGCGCATCGTCAAGAAGCAGCTTGCCCCCGGCATGTTCCAGCAGATGCAGATGCGCTGTGACGCCTGCGGCGGACGGGGCAAGACGATACGCCACGTATGCCCAACGTGCCAGGGCATGCGCGTCGAAAAGAAACCGACCACAGTGACGCTCAAGGTTGACCGCGGCGCCAAGCGCGACTCTCGCGTTACCTACGAAAACGAAGCTGACGAGAGCCCTGATTGGGTTGCGGGCGACTTGCTCGTCACATTGGCCGAGAAGAGCCCCTCGCCGGAGGACAACCCCGACCACGTCGACGGTGTCTTCTTCCGTCGCAAAGGGGACGATTTACACTGGACTGAAGTCCTCAGCTTACGCGAGGCCTGGATGGGTGGCTGGACGCGCAACCTGACGCACCTCGACAAGCACGTTGTCCGACTGGGTCGCGAGCGGGGGCAGGTGGTGCAAAGCGGCCATGTCGAGACGGTCACGGGCGAGGGCATGCCCAAGTGGCACGAAGATGGCGACTCCGTCTACCACAAGCACGAGTTTGGGAACCTCTACATTACGTACGAAGTGGTATTGCCCGACCAGATGGACCAGGCCATGGAAAAAGACTTTTGGGCGCTGTGGGAAAAGTGGCATAAGAAGCAGGGTGTCGATCTGTATAAGGACAGCGGGCGGCCGGGGCACGATGAACTGTAATGACCAAGTTAGGGGAGCGATGCATTTGTGGACAATTGTATATTCAGGGCGGAATAGAATATAGAAGAATCGTAGGGCGGCGTTGGCAAGTGGGACTTATATGAGATACCTCGGAATAGACTCGCAACTGTACATATATCGACAATTTTTTGCAGCTTCGCCATTGGTGAGCATTTATTGCATCATAAAAATGGTCCATTCGCTACACCTATCTAATTCAAAGACTTGATCCGTAGAATGGCCTTGCCAAAGTTCTTGCCCTCGAGCATGTCGACGAAACCCTCAGCGGCCTTGTCAATTCCGTCGGTAAAGTGCAGTTTCGACTTGAACGTGCCATCGGCCAACCAGGCACTCAGCTTCTCCATATGCTCCTGGAAGTAATCCGGGCCGAATCCGGGCGCGTACACAAGGAAGCCCTGCATGAGAATCTGCTTGGCGACCAGCTGGAAGAGGTTGTTGAGGCTAGCACGCTCACCCGCGTCCTGGTTGTAGCCGCTAATCTATGAAAATGTCAGCTTCACCACACTAGTTCTGAAAAGGCCTGTCAAGATACGTACCATGCCGCAGACGGGAATTCTGCCGCCGATTTTCATGTTGTCGAGCGCGGCCGCGAGATGCTCACCACCAACGTTCTCATAGTAGATATCAAGGCCCTCGGGCGCCAGCCGCGGCAGCGCGTCCGCGGGCTTCTCCTTTTTGTAGTTGAAGCCCGCGTCAAAGCCGAGCTCCTTTGTGATGAACTCGAGCTTGTCGTCGGACCCGACGGAGCCAATGACAGTCAGCCCTTCGTGCTTGGCAATCTGGCCGACAATCTGGCCGACCGAGCCGGCGGCCGAGCTCACAAAAATGGTCTCGCCTCGCTTGGGCTTGCCAATCTTGTACAGGCTGGACCACGCGGTGAGGCCGGACATGCCCAGGGGCCCGAGAAAGTACGACAGGTCGACGTTGTGCGGGTTCGTGATCTTGTACGCCAGCGCCTTGGCGGGGTCCTCGACGCGGGCGTACTCGGCGAGCGGCGTGTGCGCGCGCACAAGGTCGCCGGGCTGGAAGCCGGGGCTGTCGCTCTTGAGCACGCGAGATATGGTCGCGTTGGTGATGGGGTCGTTGAGGGCAAAGGCGGCCGAGTAGGACTTGGTGCCGGCGTCGCGCATGCGCCCGCGCAGGTACGGGTCGTAAGAGGCCTCGAGCACTTCCAGCACGAGACCGCCTTTGGGAGGGGTCTCGAGGTCAATGTCGCGGTTCTCGACGACGAGGTCCTGGCCGGGCACCGGGAGGCCCTTGGGGATTTGCTTGAAGATGAGCGTCTTGTTGGGTGCCATGGCTGCTTGTGGATGAAGAAGGAGAAATGTGGTGTGAAGAGGGGCAACTATTTAGAGAATGACACAATCACATTCAAGTCGTCAATGATGTAGTAATGGGGTTGAGCTATTTATACTTTGGGTTTCGAAGTCACTACTTAGCTAACAGTACTTGGCAGTCGTTGAAAAACTCGAGACCGCCAAGAGTTCTATCGCTGGATTTATAATCCAAGCGTTCTCTTGCTGGATTTATAATCCAAGCACGTTGCGTCCATATTTTTCCACCGTCCAATGTAGTACAACGGAGAATACGGTCGGTGATCTACGACTTGCCGAGGTTCAGCCCACTTATTAACAAAGCCCGGCTCCGAAGCCTCTTCTACACTCTTCCTATGCAGGATAACTAGAAGAGTCCTTAAATCTAGCTTTCAAGCCTCTGTTTAAATTTGTAAATTTGCGGAGCATATCTGCTCTAACTGGTAGTTAATGTAACCAGCCGGATGACTGTCAGCCGGATGACTGTCAGCCGGCATTACGATGAAGCGTATTTGTAGATGGCGCGCCAGCCGGCCCGGCGTTTCGCGCCGTCCGCCGCACTCCTGCCTGTGGACCCGGCGACCGAAGCTTCTCAACTCCGCAGAATTGTGTAGGGCGACGGAGTTTGCTTCTCTGATGCAAGGATTATTCCTACACCCCCTTGGTTGTCCTGTTTGATTTTTTGGTGTCGCAATACTAGTATCTGGGGCTGGTTTGAGACTTCTGGCTGCATTTCAACTGACAATTCGGGGTTCTCAATTCACGACAACATAACGCGGTGCACCAACATGTCATCTAATAATATATAGCTGAAACGGCCTCGTCTTGGCCGTCCAGTCCGGGTCCGCGATCAAGCCCAACATCCATCACAGCCCCACGGAGCCCCGCCAATTTATAGCCTGCCATGATCTAGGAGCACAACTTGAACCACTGGGATGCCTTCTTCCCCGCGCTACTTTCTGGGAACGTCGTACCGCTGGCGGGGAGGTGACGACCAACTACGGGAAACCCACCTGGGGCAAGGCCAACGTTCTTGACCTGGAGCATCGCTACTATGGCGCAAATCCCCTTGGATCTGTCGCGCGAGAATGATCGAGTTCTCACCACGAAACACCCGCAAGACCTACCCCGACGCCTACTGGGGCGCCATGTTGTCCGGCGTGTCCAGGGCCGTCTATGAGTATACTGAAGCGACGCGCCTTTTTGCCCTCGACGACAGCGGCCCGACATTGTCTGACTTGACGCGTCGTTTGCGTCTAGCATTGCGCATCCATATTCTGCGCTGGACGAAAGCTGGGTACACAGAGAGAGCGACACGAGCCTGGCCACGTACTGCGCGACACTCGTCTCGCAGGCGCTTGGGTGTCTGGAAAGCAGCCGGGGCACGGCGGAGCAGCTCGTGCAGGACGCGGGGTATGATGCCGACAGCGCGACGACACTGCTCAACTACGTCTATCTTGAGCAGCGCGCTTCCGGAGATGGGCTGAAACAGAGACGAGTTTGTCCTTAAGCCAGCTCGGTGACGGACGGGAACAGTTGAATTTATTCAATATGTACCTATTAAGGCAACATGATTCCTGCGCGGAACAGCAGATGCCCGGCTTACGTGTGGAGAATTGACGGGGATTTTACCTGTCAGGATCTCGCGTCCCAAAACAGATTCTCGGTCTCTTGTCCCGCGCCATCACAATTGAGTTCCCCGCCGGCGACTGACAGCAGATCCTTGGCATCTCCGATCCGCCCAACGTCGAGTCCATCAACCGCCTCGGCGGCGTCCACTTTTCCTTGCCGTGCCTAGCCATCGTCGCCGGCAGGCCGGATCCGCGCACAGAGTTGGCGAAAGCAGCGGCCGCACGTCGACACGGAGCATCCACTTGTTCTCATTGATCACGCGACGCACCACTGGGATGAGTCTGCCCCAGCCAGTCAATACGAGCCTGGACATCTACCGAAGCTAATTGTCGACGTGCACAACTACGGGGTGGCTGTTGAGAAGGTTTGGATAGATAAGTCCCACAAGTCGAGATTGTGAGACTCTGGGGAAGCTGTGCTAGCTGCGCGATCATGTGGCTGTCTTGTGACAGACGCTCAATGGATCGGAACCGACTATTTTTACCTCGCATAGCTGCGAACACCAATGATGAATCTTGCTCCCCGACAGGGCATCCACTTTCTCTCTTAAGAGCTACACAATGCCGAACGATCACGAATGCACGAAGCCATTTCCCCTCTTTCCTTGCCGAGCTCTGGGGCATCCACGTTTTTTTTCTTGGTTCTCCTGCAGGCATAGCAGGGGTAAATAATATCCTTGCTCCCGAATTGAATCAGAAGCGAACCAGTTCCTAGTACATATGTCTCCGAGGTGTACCATCGTGAAGCTCTCGCAAAGCGGTATGTGGCTGCCGAGGCAGCACCAATGATCTTGTCCAGTTGAAACTTCGACTGTGCGATCCAATGACACTTATTATAGGCTTAGTTTATAGACCGGAGATGCGCCCGAGCGGTCGCATTATCCTTTTGTCTTGACCCTGATCGTCCGCTAGCCCCGCTAGCGCGTGCTTCCCTGAACCAGCAAGTGATAAACATATCTATATAAGTTGCTCCTTTGTTGCGGACTGGTGGTCTCTGCCATCATCAGACACTCCAATATCGACAGATATTGTAGAATTGATCAAAATGGGTTCCATAGAAGAATCATCAGACCATGCTGTTGCAGTGTCGAGCAACCAGCCGTCTGACCTCACCGAGAAGAAAGCGTCTGGTAAGAGATGGCCCGCCGCCATCGAGAAGTACCAGGTCCTCGTGGAATCTCTCTTCAAGAGTGACCAGGTCATTCTTGTTCCCATGCCCACGACTGATCCCCGAGGTACGCGCAATCTCCGCCGCCCAGAGAACCCCAAGTCAACACTGCTCACTCACACCCCCCAGATCCTCTCAACCTCCCCGACTGGCGAAAACTCACTGCCATTGCTGCCATCTGCTGCTTCGGCGCCATGGCAGCGGCGGCCGAGCTCATCCTAGGTGCCATGCTGCCTGTATTCGTCTTCCTCTACGCCGGCCTCGACCCCAAACTTCTCACCAAAGTGCACTTGCCCACCGGCGTCAACAGCCTGACCATTCTCAACGAGTTCCCCGGACCGCCTATCTGGCACATTTACCTGCTCGGCTCCGCGCCCATCCTCGTCATCGGCATTGCCAACTTTTTCCTCGTCCCGCTCGCTGTTGCCGTCGGCCGCCGCACCATCCTCCTCACCACCGGGGCCATCGCCATTGCCGGCTGTGTCGGCTCCGGCTTCAGCAACTCGTTTGGCGTGCATCTCGCGTGCCGTACCATTCAAGCTCTCGGCGCTGGCACCGTGGAGAGTTTGATCCCGTTCATCCTTCAGGACATGGTCTTTCAACACCAGCGCAACGCGGCCATTAGTGTCGTCTTTGCCACGCAGGGGCTTATTATTGCAATTCTTGGTATCGCATCGCCATACGTCATTGGGTATGCAAGCTGGCGGGTTCTGTACTTTGCGACGGCGATTGCTGGGTTTGTGCTTTGGGTTGCCATCTTCATCTTTCTCCCGGAAACGAAATTTCCTCGCTCCGAGGATGAACAACAAGGGCGACCGGCGGTTCCTCTGCAACCGGGCCAGTCCCGGCCAGAACTCGACTTCATCAATTACCCCCCGCGGCGGTGGGCTGATGACATGCGATTGATAAGAGGCAAGCCAGACTGGGGGAGTGGTTTCCAAGCCATATGGGATTCTATACGCACATTCTTCCACCCTCACCTGTTCTTCATCACCATGCTCAACTCCGCCATTATCGCAATAGGCGTGGCGGCAGGGTACACCGCAGCCCCCCAACTGCTCGCGGAGCCGTGGGCGTGGCCGTTTTACCACCTCGGCTTCTGCCTGTTTCCGGTCATCATAGCGGCTTGTGCTTCTTTTATACTGTCAGGCTGGGGTGCTGACCTGGTTGCCAATTGGATCGCTGGCAGAAAAGGCAAACGCACGCCAGAGGTCCAGCTGTTGAACCTCATATTCCCCTGCTTGACTGGCCTCGTTGGCTGTCTTTTGTTTGGAATCTCCGGCGACAACCCAGAAAAGTATCACTGGATGATTTTCCTACTAGGCCTTGCCTTTATCGTCTTCGCATTCCTCGCGACGAATACTATTGGCATTGTTTATGTGCTCGAGTCAAATCCACAGCTTGCTGGCCCGTCGCTGGTAAATATTGCTTCATTCCGCTGTCTTATTGCATTCGCCCTTTCATTCCGCGTGTCTGAATGGATTGCCGACTTTGGTTATCTCAAGACGTTTATCATCTACGCTGCCATAGTTGGCGCATTTACCCTGTTTATTCCGATCGTGTATATATGGGGAGCCAAATGGCGACAACGATTGGGAACTTCTTGAGGGTACATTGTTGGAAAAAAGAACTGTATGGGTACAATGATGAAAAAATAACTGTATAGGTATAATGATATAGCTTTGCGAAATTGGTTGAGAGACACTGCGATTACAGACACTGTTTTGCGGTACCGCAGTGGCACGTTTATCAACACCCGTATTCCGAGACACCAATGTGAGACGCTGGCTTTTTCCACCCCAAAATGGCTGCAGTCCTGATGTAAGTGTGCATAATATAGACAATATTTGATGCATAGTCGGGTGCCGGCGGGGTGGCTGTCACACTACCTCGTCGCTTCTCCTGCAGGCTGACAAGACGACCGTCGAGCTCATTGACTCGACAGACGGTAGAAGCAAAGCTCCTCAAAGTAATACGACAATCTACAGGCCTGGAATATCACGCAGGAATGTACCATGGCAAAACATACCTAGCTGGTCACTTATAAATGCCGGCATACTACAGAGCGGAAGACATCCGTTGTGGTGGTATGCACAGCATGTCCATCTCATGGCTTCGGGTAGCAGCGCATCTATGCAATAGCAGCGGCCACATATCGGACGCGGGCTGTCTCTGAGGAATGACCGCTGACTTCATGGCAGATACGATATGTACTTTACCCCGCTCTATCAATCTGTGTTATAAGTTCTGGTAGTTTCACGAGTCCACATTGCGTAGTCGGCTGAAGCCATTATCCCACCACTGCTGCTTACTGAAGTCAGCAGCGACACTCAAACTCTTCTACTTCAACCCCAGTTCATTATTTGCCTACGCACCTATTGATTCAACATGGCTGATTCTCTTCCTAAAAGATTCAACACGAATCTCACAGACTACTCAGTCGCCGCCTCGGAAAGCACTGGCCCATACGCGAAGGATCTTGAGGTCGACGCGCTGGTCGTCGGCGCCGGCTTTGGTACGTGACTATTCCCGACGCATGTACTCTGCTAACCTATGTCCACTAGCCGGTGTATTCATGCTCAAGACCCTGCGTGATGCCGGTCTGAAAACTGTCATTTTCGAGGCAGGCAATGACCTTGGTGGAACTTGGCGCTGGAACTGCTATCCGGGTGCTGGTGTCGATTCCGAGGTGCCCTCGTACGAGTATTCTTGGCCCGAGGTGTACAGTACCTGGAACTGGACAACAAACTATCCCGATTTTCAAGAGTTGCGCCGCTACTTTGATCATGTGGACAAAGTGGTCGGTATCAAAAAGGACTGTTCTTTCAACACCGTGGTTGTCGGGGCCCAATTCAGCACGGAGCAGGGAAAGTGGTCAGTCCAGACGGCGGACGGTCGTACGGCGGTGGCCAAGTACTTGATTCTAGGTACTGGGTTTGTGAGTTCAATTCTCATTGCTCTAGACAAAGGTGTCGCTAACTTTGTGACTTTTTAGGCCTCCAAAAGGTACATCCCTCAATGGCCCGGCCTTGACAAGTTCAAGGGCATTATCCACCACTCTTCCTTTTGGCCCCAAGATAAAACCATCGATGTCGCGGGAAAGCGCTGCGCCATTGTCGGTACCGGCGCGTCGGGCGTTCAAATGGTGCAAGCATGGGGCCCCCAGGCCGGCCGTCTCGACGTCTTCCAGCGCACGCCAAACCTGGCTCTGCCCATGCGCAAGCGGGATTTGACCGTCGCTGAGCAAGAAAGCAGCAAGAACTTCTACGGCGACCTGTTCCAGATGCGCGAGAAATCCTTTGCCGGCTTCTTTTACGACTGGTACCAGCGCAAGACGCTGGATGATGCGCCGGACAAGCGCGAGGCCTTCTTCAATAAGATCTGGACACTAGGAGGTTTCCGATTCTGGGTCGGCACCTACAAAGACATGCTTTTTGATGCCAAAGCAAACAAGGAGGCGTACAACTTCTGGGCCAAGAAGACCCGAGAGAGGGTCTCGGATCCTGCGACGAGAGATCTTCTCGCACCAGTTGACATGCCTCACTATTTCGGCATCAAGCGCCCGTGTCTTGAGAATGACTACTACGAACAGTTCAATAGGGAGTCGGTTCATCTGATTAACATCAAGAACAATTCCATCGAGGAATTTACCGAGAGCGGCATCATGCTCGAAGATGGAAGCCACCACGAGTTCGACGTGATTGCACTTGCAACAGGATTTGTAAGTCCCTTTCCTTCAACCCTGTCTTAGTTTGGACGTCAAAAGCGCACCTCATCCCATTTGTTGCCCTCAAACAGTCACATACTGACAAGCATACTTACTCTAGGATATTGTCACGGGCGCATTGACACAACTTGGTCTGAAGAGCATCGAGGGAGCCGAGTTGGAAAAGGAGTGGGCGTCGGGCGCCAAGTCCTATCTCGGCCTGACCGTCAGCGGATATCCGAACATGTTCTACGTCTACGGCGCGCAAGCTCCCACTCTTTTATGCAATGGTCCTACCGCTGCAGAACTGCAAGGTCGGTGGATTGCCGACGCTATTGTCAAGATGGAAGCGGCTGGTGTCAAATACATCAATGCCAAGCCCGAGGCCGCCGACAAGTGGAAGCAGTTTGTTATGGACGCTTGCGATCGGTCGCTTTTGCCTACGACCAAGTCGACGTATATGGGAGGCAGCATCCCCGGCAAGGTGTACGAGCCTGTTGTGTACGCCGGTGGCACCGACCTCTACGCAGTGGAGATCCGTAAGGTACTGGATGACATGGAGAGTGGCTTTGACTTGGTCAAGAAGTAACAGGGTTCCTGCAATATAAACACTTCTTCGTTCGCTATACATGAATCTGGCTACGTTTCTCAAGGCCCCCGAGTTAGCAGATGCGTACATCCGACCCGCACCATATCTAGTCATATCTGTTGATAAATTCCCGCTGCATTTCCTCAGCCAGTTCATCATCAGAGAGAATATTAACAGCCAGCAGCGCCATTCCCGTACCGCAGTCAATGGCGGCTTCGTGCCCGGCCCGCTCACCAGCCGCGGCCGCAAACAATTTGCTGTGCATCGCTGCGCCAGGCGCCGCCGGGATGGTAAAGGCGCCGTGCATGCTCGGCACTTGGTGGCTCACGTTGCCCATGTCCGTCGATGCCACGAGCGGCTTTTCCTGCTCCGCGAGCACCTTGTGGCCGACAAGCGCCATCATCTTGGCATACGTTTTGCAAATCGCGCCGTTACCAATGACGTTTTTGTAGTCATCGGCCCTAGCTCCGGATTAGCATCATCATGACTCTATAAAGACTGGTGTATGTACCTGATGTATTCGAAACTGCAGCCGGCAGCACTGGCGCCCGCCTCGATGCAAGCCTGCACGCGCTCGTGCAGTTCCTGTCCCCGCTCAATCGTCGGGCTGCGTATGTACCAGTTCATGCGCGTGTAATCCGGGATGACATTGGGCACGGTGCCTCCGTCTTCGATCACGGCGTGCACCCTCTCATCGGAGCGCATCTGCTGGCGCAGCAGGCTCACGTTGTTGTACGCCGCGACGGCCGCGTCCAAGGCGTTGAGTCCGTTCCACGGCTCGCCGGCGGCATGGGCCGACTTGCCGCGAAACGCGACGCGGAATTTGATGCTGGCGACGAGATTCAGCGCGGCGGAGCCGGAGACGGCGGCGTCGTTGGACAGGTTGCCAGGGGCCACTGGGTGCGCCATAATGGACGCTGAAGCACCGCTAAAGGCGCCGGCCCGGAGTAGCGCAATCTTGCCTCCGCCGCCCTCCTCCGCCGGCGTGCCGAGTACCCGCACGCGGCCTGGCACCTTTAATTCAGACAAAACTTTGGAAGCTCCGAAAAATGCGGCTAGGGAGGCGGTAGCGATAAGATTGTGGCCGCAGGCGTGGCCAATTTCAGGCAAGGCGTCGTATTCGGCGCAAATGACAACCTCGCGGCCGCCAGCGCCGGAGCTGGCCTCGAAGCTGGTGTCTAGGCCATAGGCCTTGCGCGTGACGGAGAAGCCCTGGGATTCAAGAAGGTCGCACAGGTTATCGTGGGCATTGTGTTCTTTGTAGGCTACCTCGGGGTTTGCGTGAAGTGACTGATTCGCCTGGTAGAGGGCGGCGTCTGCTTGCTTGAGGTGTGCTTGCACAATGGCAAGGGCCTTGCTGTTATTGGTTGATGAACTTGACATTGTTACAACACTGAAGATAGAAGAGGAAAGAAGAAGAATGATCTACGGAGAAGTCTTTCCAGAACTGCTATTGAGATTTATATACATGAAATTCCGTCGAAATTCTAAGAGCGGCGTCGGCTGAGTTCATTCTCTACATCTGTACCCCCCACCGCGCCACCAGAGGCTGGCTGCTGTGGAATCTCCCCTCTCCAATCGTTTTAGCGGCTGAGTCGATTCAAACCAACTATATATGGCTTGGGCGCGCACTTTCCAACCCATCGTTCTGTTTCCCCTCTATCGCACAGTCTCTTACTTGTTCCAGCCAGCTTGCCGATGCCCATTTGCGCTAGCAGCTCGTCCTGCCGACAGTAGGTGGGGAGCTCACCATGATAGGCATGCAGTCTGCGTGCGACCAACGCATATATCGTCGGTCCCGGTCGGGCTGCCGGACATGTCGCCTCAAGAAAGTCAAATGCGACGAGGTGCGGCCGCAGTGCCAGCGATGTGGCCGGCTCCGCCGCTTCTGCGACTACAGCAACCAAGATGAAGTCTACGTGAGTGCCGTGGGTAAGCCCGGGCGAGCGAATTGGGGGGAAATGACGATTCAACTACCGGCGTTCAGCACCAGCACATGTTCGCTCAGCCTCACGACAACGGATCACGAAGCCATACGGTACTTTCGCACCACATTTGCGCGGCGCCACCACACCAAGAATCCCGACTTTTCCGTCTACTCCATCATCTTCAACATTGCCCAGTTTGAGCCGCTGGCCATGCACGCCGTCTTGGCGCTGGCCTGTCGGGCGATTCAGCCCCGCGACCAACTTGCCTACCCTAACCACCAGCAAAATTGGCGTCATCTGGTCCACTACTCGTCAGCGCTGGGGCGCCTCAAGGAGGAGCTGGAAAAGGGCTCGACGAGCCAGGAGGCCTTTAATTTCGATGTTTGTTTCACGGTCCTCTACATCATGATGGTGTACGAGCAGAACTTTGGCGGTGATAGCTTTGCCGGGCTCGCGCATCATCTCGACGGCGCGGCCACCGTGCTTCGGCATCGTGGAAAGCACATTAAAAGAGACGTTGAGGCCGTCTTGCTGGCGACACCACTAGCCATCGATCGGCATGGATTGGAGCGGGGACTTTCCCTGTACTCGGCACGTATTCTGATTTGGATATCGCTCTGCGACGCGACTTCGGCAACGTACGGCATCGGCGGGTCGTTCAACGCTGCATTAACTGAAGTCTTGGGGCGCGATGACCCGGGAGGCGTCGAACACTTGCACACGTTTTCCAACTCCCTATTTCGTGTCATGTGGGCGGACGCGTATCCCCAGGCGGAACTGGTCGACGATATTGAAAACAGAAGTGTTTTTGAACTGATGGTGGCTTGCTCTCGGGCGAGGTACTCTCTTGCTGCCCTTGCCCGTTCTCTAAAAGGCGGGAATGTGCAAGAGTCCAAACTTTGCACCAAGTCTGCCAAAGAGGTGATACAATTTATTGCAACGCGGTATCGCGAGCTGCTAGAGGTTGCCAGCGGGCTGCTGCCGTCTACAGACCATGCGCAGCGGTTAGTGGCCAACCTGCGAGGCATCGTGCCGCACTACCACGCCGTCGTTGTCGTCTTTGCAAGGCTCGCTGCAAACCTTCCAGGAACATCTATCTATGCGGAACCCCAAGCGCACGTCAATTCCATCATGACTCTCGCGCGGCAGGCGTACCGGCATCAAGGCAGCGACGCCATGGTGCGCGTTGCCTGGCCATTGCTGGTCGTGTTTTTGGAAACACAAGACCAAGCGACGAGGGACTGGATCCTATGTCGATTCCAGTCCATGGCGAGCTTGAACAAAAACATGGAACGTGCTGAAGACTTCCTGAGGAACTCCGTGGGACCTGCGAGAGCGACCAGTGCAGCCTGGGCAGACCCTGGCAGCTGGTTTCACTCGGGAGACGGAGCGCCATTCATCATCTGATTGTAATTACTAGCTTTCGACCTGTCGTGGACTATCTCAGTGATGCTATCTATATTTCTTCATGCGTTATCGCGTATTGTGTATACTTGGGGCGATTATGCTCGCCGCACTTATTAACGCTCAGCCCTGCTTACCCCGCGGGGAATAGTGGTTCAATCACCACCAAAGCTACGCGAGTTAGCGTCGCGAATGGTCGGCTACTGTGCCCAATACGGAAATTCGATCATCAGCAAAGGATCCAGCTCTTCTGCTGCGGGGTGTCGCAATTGCGTGGGCTCAAATGCCGCTGCCACCCCGCAGGTCATGGAGGAATGGTAGGTACTATATGATCTGTAGGTACATGCACCCTTCGAACTGGGGGAGACATTCCGTGCCAGTAGTAATTGAGGATATTATTTGACCGGCTTGTTTTTCACAGTAATTAAGCGAGCTTTGTTCCTTTACATGTTGACTTCTGTTGGTGATGGTATTGTGTCGCAATAATACCCTGTACGACGCAACGTACATCTTGCATCACTTAGTAGTCTCAGGCAGCTGGCTTTTTTTTCTACATGAACACACCCACCTATCTCACACCCCGTTTTTACCGGCCAACCATCCAGTCGGCCAGTGCATTGGAGAGCACAATTCTAAGGCTATTTTGAGGAGTTGTTAAAGGCTTCTGGTGTAACACGAGAAATAGTGCGACGATTAGGCACCTACAACGGGCCGACGTCAGCGAAGAGAGGTCCACCTTCACACCCAACGAATTCTCTGAAAGAAGCCGTTGGGTGAGCGAAAATTTCATTCTTTGTCTGTTATCTCTTACGATTTTTTCGTTAAATTCTCCAAACATTGCAATTGTCTCCGTCAACAGTCTCGGCTGTCTAAACACAGCATGGCTCTCAACATCAACCCATTGACGGCTACCGCCTCGCAGCTTCAGGCTAAGCTCACTCAGAAGTCCGTCACGAGTCAGCAGCTCGTCAAGCTCTATCTTGCCCATATCGCTAAATACAACGGTTATCTGAAAGCGGTGCTTGCCGTCGCGCCTGAGGACCTGCTAGATAGAGCTGCGGCTAAGCTCGATGACGAGCGAGCTAACGGCCACGTTCGCGGCCCGCTCCATGGGATTCCCATTCTTATCAAGGTTCTATTTCCTGCGCTGTAGTGTCCACTGATAGAAGGCTAATAATAACCCCATCCGCAGGACAACATCGCGACATCCCCTGACTTCGGATTGCCAACAACTTGCGGCAGCCTTGCACTTAAAGGTTCGAAGCCCAGGAAAAGTGCTACAATCATTGAACGAGTGAGATTGACATTCCCTGAAGCGCTATTGACCCAATGCTAACCCCCCTGGAGCTTCAAGCAGCTGGAGTGATTATTCTTGGCAAGGCAAACCTATCAGTCCGTCCTCAACGTGCCACCGAATGCCATACTTTTCTCTAACTATTTTCGTAGGAGTGGGCTTGGTACAGGTAGACCTATCGCGCCGACACCAGGCGAAAGTACAGAACGTTGACAATTTTAGGTCCGATTTTGCCGACTCAGGATGGTCCGCAGTGGGAGGACAAACCCAGTCGGCATACGTTCGCGGTGGGTTCTCCCATGCTAACGATACCAGTGGTGGCCACAGCGTAAGTACAACGTGGACAAATTCCTCGAACATATTTCTGATGAAAGTTTATAGAACCCTGGGGGGTCTTCTTCTGGCTCTGCTGTTGCAGTTAGTGCCGGAATGTCTCCTTTTTCTATTGGCACTGAAACCATGGGTTCTCTCATCATGCCTAGTGATAGAGCTGCGCTCTTTACTATCAAGCCCACCCTCAAGATTGTCCCTCAGGATGGCATTATTCCGGTTACGCTCGAGGCAGATTCTGCTGGGCCAATGACTAAATCTGTTTTAGACCTGGCCAATCTTCTCGACATACTTGTGGACCCGTCCCGTACATCCGTGCCAGAAGGGGGTTACAAGAGTGCTGTGAACAACTCTTGGGGGGATATACGCATTGGATACTTGGATCCAGAACAATGGCTATTCCCAACAAAGATTGTGAAGTACGAGAAAGATGCTACTGATCAAATGGTATGTTTCCTGCGCTGTGATGATGAAAAATGTCGCTCACATCGATGAAAGCTGCGAGAATGGAACGCGGCCTGTGAGAAACTCAAGTCTGTTGCCAAAGTCGTGAAGCCCGTGAAACTTCTCTCAGTCGCAGAATCCTCACAGGACGGCAAGAGAGACATTTGGGATGCTTTTCGTATGGCCCGTCAAACCAAGAACGTATTATCGCTGCTAATGCGCGAACAGACACAACCTTCAAGGCCCTCTTGGAGGAATATCTTCAAGGTGTTGACGATTGTAAAGTCCGTACGCTGAAGGAACTTATCGAGTTCAATGAAGCGCATGCAGCAGAGGAACTGCCCCCCAGTAAGCCATCATGATACCACCATGAGCTTTGGTAAACTCATTTCTTTGTTAGGTGCGGCAAATCAAGCTGGCCTCATCAGAGCCTTGAACGCCACCATGGATCCAGACGAATATCGCAAATTGATAGACGAAGCTCGTATCACTTGCGGCGAGAAAGGGATTGACAGGGTGTTGGAAGAGAATGAGGTTGACATCATCCTTGGACCGGGTGATGGGCCCATGTTCGTCATTGCTGGCACTGCGGGTGAGTGGCCAAAGTTCATTGCAGATGTCCTGTAGAAACCTTCATTTGACCCTCCCGCTAACAAATTCGGTTCAGGATACCCAGTCGCATCGCTACCTCTTGGGTACCTAGACTTCAACGGAAGACCATTTGGGATGCAGATCACAGCCAGAGCGCATGAGGACGCACTTCTAATCCAGGCGCAAAGCGCATGGGAGGCAACCTTTTCCCCGCGCCAGCCTCCGCAGTTGGATGAAATTGTGGCTTGGTCCTGATCCATCTTAGCCCATGCACACGAGTCGGAGGCTGGAGGATCATGCTGCCCTCGGAGAGAATGGCAAAACAGAGGGCGGGTGGAGAGAGTCCAAGCAATACATGCTATAGTAGGAAACGTTCTGTTAGAGATGAATCAAGGCAAGATGTTGCTACCCTGCCGTCTAATTACCCCGGAATCGTTTACTTCCAAACCGGCACTGTCATGAAAGCCAGCGGTAATGTTGCGCGCCGAGGCAATGGTGGTCGGGCCGTCGTACGAGTTGCCGAATAACTAGGAGGACGCCTGCGTGGCGGCGCGCCACCTATAAAGTCGCCGTCGGAGCGCTCCTTGGCGGCAAACGGCTGCTGCACAAGAAACGGCGATAGCGGCGCTGGTGCTGTCTACGGCGCAGCTGAGGTCGGCGAGGCGCTGCTAGACGGGCAACTGTGCCCCATCAACCACGAGACCTCCGAGATCGACTGGAAAGGGGCTCCAGGGTTCTATGTTAAACGGGGGCCATGTCCAGTGCAATGCCTAGAGACAGCCCTCACGCGCGTAAGTGTTGTGAGTCCCCGTGTTGCACTTGTTGTATAAGTACACTTATTTATGTACGAATTATGTAACTAGTTTGTATACAAACAGGTTTAGCTCAGTAACTAGCAACTGCAGCATTTGTATAGTTTCCTTACCATCTTTATGAATTTTACTCTGCTCTAGGTTCTAAATCTTGGGACCCCACTGTAACGTTATAGGTACCTGAGAAGCTATAGCGCTATAGACTGCTGGAAATACCCACCGGAATGACTGCTAATACGTCTTATCTACGCCTCTCAACTATCGCAACCCCATTTGATAGCTGGAGCGCCACGGAGCTGTCAACTTCCAACCGCGATAAGGGAACTCACTACCAGTCACCACTCTTGGAGCTTCAGCCAAACATCGACGAGACTCATCATCTTGTTGCCAATGTTCATCTTCTCTGAGCGACACCCCCTCGACCTGCAGCAATGAACGAGGCGAGGTCGTTGGAGGGCAATGCACGCAAGTACCGCTCCAAGAAGCAGCGGCCATGCGACCTCTGCCGGACGCGCAAGATCCACTGCAAACTGCAGGCCGATGGCGCCGAATGCGAGCTTTGCCGGAGGCTTGAACGGCGGTGCACTTTTGTTCTCGGGCCCTTGCGGCGCAAGTATCGTGCTCGCGACGGAAAGGAGGATGAAGTGCCCCGACGACGGCGAGCAAGTGAGAATCAGTTTGAGGTGCCTGCTTCTGGCAATGGGCCACCTGCACTCAATGCTGCCGAGGCCAACCAGACTGAGGGCATGAGTATGGACCTGGGAGACGGTGATTTGTGGGCGCTGCCAGCCGACATGCGACAACCATTCGCTATCCAGGACATGTCCAGTATCATGGGCTACTATGGGCTGGGTGGCAACGGCGGAGGAATTTTCGCTGCAAGTAATGGCGCATCGGGGATTGGCGGTGATGGGATCGGCATGATGTTCACCGAGCCATCGGCAGACCTTGGACTCGATCCTGGCTTTATCCCGGCTGCACTGTCACCGACCAATCTCAACACAGCCCGTTTAATTCGTCAGGGCACACCGTCGACGAGCACGTCGAGCGGGTCACATTCGGAAGCCAACAGCTCCATCAACCAGCCTCTCCAGCCTGGCGATGAGTTAAGTCGACGAGAAAGCACGGCTCAGCAGGTCCTGGCCCACGACCACAACTCACAATCGTCATCATGGCCAGTCGAGTTCTCGCTGGAAGCCAAAAAGGGATACTCAAACCACTTAATCGGTCTCTCGTGCGAGTCAGATCCGTTTCTTTTAAAGCATTACAAGTACAACGCCTACGACAACTATCACATGTTCCGTCTCGACTTCCGACGAGTTGGCAACGACGCTCAGACATGGAGCAGGCGTGAAATGCCTAGCAGTGGCACCCAGCCAATTACTGCCCACGTCCCGATGCAGTTCATGATGAGCGACGAGGCGATCTGGAAAGAAGACTTGAAGGCGACGGAGAGGTACTTGTCTGGTGAGGGCACTGAAGCTGCAGATCAGGCGCTGCTCAACAAGATCATAGAGCCAGAGCTCGGAAGAATTCTAGTCAAACTGTGAGCCGGCTCAAGACATTATTTGACTCTCTTGGTGCTAATCAGGGGCGCAGGTACTCGAGATTTGTCCACCCTCGATATCCCGTCTTCTCATTCACGGATATCAGGCGCATGCTAGACCCCAACACCATCTTACATGTTCCCGTCGGCATTCGGAGTGCCGTCTACGCCCTCGCAGCGCCATTCACCTTTCTAGATGACGAACTCAGTGTCTCAAACGGCTACCTCGCTGTACCGACCGACGACCTCTGGGACGTCGCCCATCGCAGCTTCCAGCGCGATAGCTGCTTCTCACACTTGTCATTGTTGCAGCTATGTCTTTTAATGCTGCACATGCCGCCGCAAAACTTGGTCGTCGCCGAGCCTTCCAAATTCTGGGCTCTCTCATGCTCAGCTGTGGCGATTGCAGAGAACCTGGGAGTAAACATCGATCCGAAAGATTGGAAATTGCCGAGAGAGGAGGTTATCCTACGTCGCCGGCTGTGGTGGCTGACCTATGTTGGACATACATGGCATGCCCTCGTCTGTGGCCGACCTTCTCATATACATGAGTCCAACTGGTGTGTTTCCAGCCTGACCGAGGATGATTTCGAGCAGGGTCCCCAAGATCCGAACATCCGCGAGGCGGTCGCACAGCACACACCCATTTGTCTGGCTCAATGTGAACTCGGTGTCATCGCCGCAGATGTCTTGAAGGAATTCTAGTAAGCAGAAAAGCCGATTTTTTTCTTCTTATTCATTACCATCCGGCTAACGTCTTCCAGTTCTGTGAGGGCAAACTACTCCGAGTCACTCACATTAACGGCCCTCCTCAGCAGAGCGCAAAGACTTCGAACACGCATAGAGAGCTGGAGGCAGACATTGCCATTTCTCTCAAAACCTGTTCTGGAATTAAACGAGCAGGACTTTGAGAATGGTGCCATTTTGCGACTGCAGCACTTGACGCTTGAGATGTTGATCTTCCGCGCTCTACTGCGACCATTATCGAATGACCAAGTATCGTCTTTGGAAAAGTGCCAGGAGCCAATCTCGACCATCTACGAGAATTGCCACGTCTGCGCCAGCATAGCGACGGAGATGGTGTCCATGTTACGGGCAAAACATTTCGCCAGCTTCTGGCCTCACTGTAAGTCACGGCTTGCTCTATACCATACATGATGCCTTGCGCGCTGACACTACTCAAGATACACGTTACCAACTTTGCTACGTTTCGACGTTGCTTCTGCTCATCCTAGCCCAGTCAGCAACACGGGAGATGGCGGTACGGAACAAGACGCTGCTAGACAAATGGAGGGATACGCTGCGCATGCAGGCAAGAGCTTGGCCACTGGCTCGTCTTGCAGCGATGAGACTAGACGCGTCATTCTGGAAGGGCATCTCATCGGTCATTCACGGTGCAGGACCGGAAAGTCCGGCCCTTCAGCTTCTGAAGGAGTCTGAGTCTGCCAAGGAAGGCAGCGAGGCACCATCCTGACCACGCTCAAGAAACATGCGTACGATTCACGAGGTACGAAACTAGCAGGCTAAATCACACAGTATGCGAACATGATACAATTCCTACTACTATGCTAGGTTTCGCGACGCATCGTAGCGCAAAACAGCCCCAAGCAGCACTTGCGCTCCAGCAACGCAATCTCCCGCTGGGCAGTACTCATCTGGCGTATGGCTTCTCCCCTTCCTCGTCGGCGCGAAGATCATGGCAGTAGGGCAGATCTTGTTCACGTGGCAAGAGTCATGGCCAGCTCCGCTGGTGATGTGCTGCCATCTTTTGCTCTCTACTGCATCTCCATGATTGGGCAACTGTGAGCAATATTCCTCGGCGGCCTCCTCGACGGCCTTGACGCAATCCTGGTGGAAGACGACAGCCTTGTTCTCCGTCAAGGTCTTCCATGAAACCTCGACACCTCTCTCGGAGTTGTGCTTTGCAATCTCCTCGAACTGCGCGTGACACTGCTCTACCATCTCGGCCAGCGTCGCATCGCTGGTATGCCTCACATCGAGCGTGAACTTGGCCGTGTGCGGCACGGTGTTGACACTACCAGGCAACCCACCAACGATGCCGGTGGTGATTAGTCCTTGATGTCGCTTCGCAATCTCATTCGACGCCACAATCATCCTGGCCGCCGCCAGCACGGAATCCTGCCTCATACTCATCGGCGTCGTGCCCGCGTGGCCATCGCTCCCCGACACGACGACCTCGAACCAGCTATGCGCCTGTGCACCCGTGACAACGCCGATCTTCCGTGCTGTATCTTCGAGAATCGGACCTTGTTCAATGTGAAGCTCAAAGTGTGCCCCGATCGGAAAGGAAGTGTGCGACGCTGGTGTGTCGCCGAGGTATCCGATACGGGAGAGCTCTTGTTTCATGTTTTGGGGAGTGTTCCCAGCGGGGGGCGTTACTTCAGTGAGGTTCCATGCTGTTTCGAGGGGGATGGCGCCGGCCCAGACGCCGGAGGCGACGGTGACGATGGGGAAGCGAGCGCCCTCTTCGCTGGAGAGAGAGAGAGGTGTTAGCTAGCACCAAAATTTCACCGAACAATATGCGTCCATGATAAGGATAGACGGTAGTGAGGCGTGGAATAGACCAGAGAGAAGAGTGAAGAAAACAGTGGTGATGATAGTAAAAGAAAGGGCACTTACTTTGTCCAATTCACCAAACCAACTGGCCCTTCAGTCTCCCATTTATTATCCTCCAGCGTCCTCAACACCTCGAGTCCAGCCATGACGCCAAGGATACCGTCGTATCGCCCACCGGTCGGCTGCGTATCGAGATGCGACCCCATCATGACCGGTGCCGCGTCCTTGGACCTTCCCGGCCTGACCGCGAACATGTTGCCCATCTGGTCGACAGTCACCTTGCATCCAAGGGATTCTGCTTCGCCAAGCAACCAATCGCGAACCTTTTTGTCGTCGTCATTGAGGGAGAGTCGGGCCATGCCAGTCTCTGTGGCAAGTCTGCAGTGACAACCAGTTAGTAGGCTGGGGGTTTTTGTTTTGCCGCGCCCTTTGGAGGTTTTTTTATGCGAGACAGACCACCTGTATTCAGGTAATGTTTAACTTACTCGCCCCATGGATGCGCCTTGCCGAAGTCACAGGTTTTGTGCAGGGTCTCGAGCATCCTGCTGCCATTGACTTTGAGGCCATGGTATGCCCTCTGGCCTTGGACTTGAATCGCTGGCATGACAGTGGTTGTACGAGTAGCCATTTTGGAGAGAATAAGAGAGATTGACATTGAAGAGGAACAAAAGATGCGATCGAGCTCAGCCCCCTCCACCTCCTGGTCTGAACTAAGGGTTATAATCTATTCCAACTACAAGACGTAGTCTTGCATCATTAGAGGGGGGTTCAGGGTAGCCGAAACAAGTCAATGTTCAAGCCGGCCACCGCGGGGAAGAGCCATACTCTAGATAGTATCGGCCAAACCGACCCGTTGGGCAAATCGCCCGATTTATGACCACGAATTATGAAGTCCAAGCCACATACTTGCCCCGGCCCAGCTTCGTGGATGCAGCAGATAAGTGACCGGCGGGGAATGGCGGGGAATGGCGGGCACTTCATCTGTAGTCTCTCCAAGACGGCCCGCTACAGTTCCGCGCTTGTGATTCGCATTATCAGACTTGATCTGATGGCAGCCATTGGATTGGTGGGCAACTCGTTGGCCGTCGGGGAACGGGGGTTTACCTGGATCTCGGGCGATTTTGTATTTTTTTCAGCCGCGACGGAGGTGGGTAATACCTAAAGATAATTACCCGTAGCTGCTAAAGCTAAGCCCCTGTAGCACTAATGATGAGCCCCTGTAGCTGTTAAAATTGTTCCCCTGTGCCAGGTACTGCAATCGATTACCTGTGGCTGAAATTAATCTCGCAGAGTCCGTAGCTAACCATTGTCACCCAACAGGTTGTATACAGCCAACATAGACATACAGATGTATCTATAGCGTTTTTTTCGGGCGCCTTTTGTGTTTAGAGACAGTATATCATGCCTACAGTGCTGCAACAGACATCCCGTGCGAATTACAGTTCGAAAGAGAGTTCAGGTATGCGAGTTGCGGACCATGATTAGGGAGTCTAACCTAAGTTTTCAGGCGGGGAGACGTGGAGTTTGGGGATCTTACAGCACACACGCTTTAATTAGCAAATCATAGAAATAGTTATCCTTTCAGTTCCTATTTACCACTCCAAAAGCTCGGGTCCCAATCTGGAAACTTGTACAAAATCTTGCTCATTCGCGTGCAGAAGAAAATGTCTACCTCTTCTCCTTCCCCTGCTGCTCAGCCAGCCACGCCTCGGCAATATCCTCACACCTACAAAATTCTACCGAGTCTCCAAAGCTCTTCAACCACTGGATAAACCTGTCAATCATGCCGATAATGTGTGCCAAGCCGCTGACATCCGGATGCACCAGGATCGGGAAGACAAAGTCCATCGCGTCGCCGCCCTCCTTGTAGCCCGTCTCCCAGAGCCACAAAAACTTGTCCTTCCACATCTGCTCCACCACGCGCGTTGAGACGTAGCCCATGCTATTCGCCAGGTGAGGGAGGTACATCATCGGCATCATGTCTTCGTTATACCAGCCACAGGGCAGTTCGACTAACGGGTGAAGGCCCTCGGCTGGGTAACCCTGGGAGGTGATTGGTGAGGGTTCGAGCCATGACGAGGCGGGCTGGCTGAAGTCAATGGGCTTGATGGGAAGGTCGGCGGGAGTGAAGTAAGGCTGCGAGTCGTGGTGCATGAGGGAAGAGTCGTAGAGGAACTCGTGCTCACGGAGGAGCTTGACGGTGGTTTCGCGGATGGTGTACATGGGAGCGCGGTAGCCACGAGGCTTCTTGCCGGTAAGCTTCTCGGCGACGTCGATACTGCGAGTTGCTTGTTTAGCTTCACGGCTGAGATTGAAATGTGAGAATTGTGAGGTACGTACCACTTGAGAAGAACATCCTTCTCCTGCTCCTCAGTCATCTGCGCAATTCCCTCATGCGCATACCCATGAAGCCCAATCTCAGCCCCAGACTCAAACACGGCCTTTGCAGCCTCTGGAAAGGTCTCGGTAGTATGTCCCGGGATAAACCAGGTCATCTTGTCTGCGACGCCATTCTTCTTGAACATGTCTAACAGACGGTACACACCGACCTGGCCGGCGAAAATGCCGGAAGAGTAATCAGCCATGTTGTTATCCGCGTGACAGCCTGTGCCGAGCCAATGCGACACGGCATCGAAGTCGACTGAAAGGGCGACCTTGACTTTACTGGGCGGCGGTCGAGAAGACAGAGACGGTGTGAGTGCCAGAGATGGTTCAGCAGCTTGAGAAGCGCCGACGATCTCGTAGTCGCAGTCTGTGGGCATACCGGCATTGACAGGATCAATATCCTGAGGGCATGAGCTCATGACAATTAGGAGAGTAGTCTCGGCCTTGATGATGACGTATTGACCTCTTTCGCTGGTTGGTGGACGAATGTCGAGGCCGCCGTGGTGGTCGATGGCGATGTTCATGAAGAGGTTGAGAGGGTCAGGCACCCAGTCGGCGGCCATTGGGAAGTCCGGGAACTTGTCGTGAAGGACCTGATGATTTTTCTTTTTAGCAAAGAGGGCATTTATTTTCTTTTCACCGCCATCACAATTAATGCGGCATGGATTTGTATGTACTGACCTTGTGCATATTATCAGTGCAGTTGTCATGGTACCCTTCAACACCCTGCATACGATACCTCTGCGCGTCGCAGGCTGACCAAATCATGTCGTGCACGCCCTTTGTCGTATCTTCTACCAGAGTCAAGATCGGCTTCCTGCGCGTGCTGTAGAGTTTATCGCCCTTGGCAATCGAGACTTTGCGAAGAACAGTCCTGGTGTGGACCATGGACAGGAAATCGTTTGCATCTTGGGGATTAAATGCCCAAAAGTCGAGGACCTGTTTGCCAAAGGTGTTTGTGATTTTCACCTCTTGGCCAGCTTCGATGGTGAAGGCGACGGCTCTCCGAGCTGGGATGAGAGTCATGATGGGATGAGTCTGTCACAATTGGGTGGCTAATAGAATGATGCTTCGTGTTGTACAATGACAGAGTCCAATGGAGGGGGGGCGGGTAGATTGGAGGGACAGAGCTTTAATTTATTGTACATCTCGGTTACCGATCAAGCTCGTGTCGTTTCATTACATAGCAATGCCTAGAGATAAAAGAAATGGAAAGTTATTGACGGAGACGCGCCCCCGACGCGGATCGCATCGGCCGTTAGCACCGCCGTCATCCGTATCCGGTAAATGCTAATCACTAAGGGTGCAGAAGTCCAACGCCCGTTTTCTCAAATGAACGCGGCTAGGGATGACACTCCGCTACCTGGGCGTGGAGAGCGGCCCAAATGATAAGCTGATAGTAATAGCGGCGGGCAGCGCTGTTAGCAATACTACGATACGAGGAATGTACAGTTTCAGATGTCACTAAGATTGTCTATATCGAGTTGTCACTAGCCATGTTTATTACTTTAAGCTGATAACTTGGGTGCCCTGAACTCTCTGAAAGCCTATATGACACTAACTGTAGCGAGTTTGTTAGGCACAGTACGCCCCCATGCCCACCCACTGGCTGACTCCGCCCCCGTTACATGTTACATCACCTATCCCAGCCACGCCACCAGTTCTCCTTTATTAGCACCATCACATTCAATTTGGATCCATACACATCTGTTGCTCGTGTCTCCACGACCGGCTCGTGACTTTGATTCAATACAGTGCATCTAAATACTAATGCCCGAATCTGACGCCGCTTGACTCGCCCCAATTTCTTTCAAGTTCAAGTTCAACAGCCCAGCAAAGTATCCCCTAATCCAAACCCCATCGATCGGCCCAACAGCACCCACCAACCCATCAGGTCTCAAGATCAACACCGCGCCCTCGTCGGCCTCCACGCCAAACTTGTCATGCGCCTCGTTCGCTGGATCGTAGAACATGTCGCCAAAGGGCTTCATGCCGATAGCTTCGTATGGTGAGCAGCCGACCGCGGGACTGATCGTCAGCCACGAAATGGCCTCGTGATTCCGCAGAGGGTTGCTCGCAGCGTCTGCAAAGGCGGCGCGCAGGTCGAGGAGACGGGGCCTCGTGACAGCCGTGTTTCCCAGGCAGACCACGACGAAGAACTTGCCGACGTTCTTGGTGATTTGCTGGAAGCGCACCTTCTGGTTAGTTCCCGGCGTGTGAAGATGGACGTCTGGTGGTCGGCTCCCCGCTATGATTGTGAGCTTTGGCTTTTCCTCCGACGTCAAGGTCTGGTTGACAACATTCGCTGCGTAGGATATACCAAGGCCAGTGTTGAACGACGCGGCCTGGTTGAATATCTCGCCCAGCAACAGGTACGGATCGGCATTCTTGTCACCGTCATACCATGCTGGCCACTTGTACGACATGAGCGTCGAGATGTCCTTGTCGTAGTCGATCAACCTCTGCACCGCCGACATGCGCTCGGGAGAATACGTTTCGAGGACGCAGCTTTGCGTGAGGCCTCGGATCTGCAACGCGAGCTTCCAGCCTAGGTTGACAGCGTCGTGGATGCCGGTGTTGAGGCCTTGCGCTGCGCCACTGCTGTGCGTGTGAGCAGCGTCGCCACAAAGAAAGACGCGGTTGCTCTTTGCCGTGAATGACTTTGCGATGCGCTGGCCGATGGTGTATCTAAACACGTCAGCATCGTTTCTCGGCCTGCCATTGCCATTTAGCCCGAGGGACTTACAGCGTCCACCAGTGAATTTCCTTGAACTTGACCTTGAAAGGCTTCATTGCCTCAATTGCCTCCTTCTCGGCAACCTCCTGCGTCACTCCATTCGGATACTTGGCTGCAATCTCCGCACTGTACGCATATCCGATGCGAGTTGCGCCATGGTCGAGCGGGGCCCAGAGGATATTGCCGTGAGTCTTGCTCTCGATGGCACCGTACGACCGGTTCAATGGCATGTCCGTCTCTACCATTCCGTCGATGCGAATCCACTTGTCTTCTGACGTGTCGCCCTCGAAGGGAATATCCGCATGTCTCCGAACGAAACTGCGACCGCCATCTGCACCGATCAGATACTTGCTAGGAAATGTTAGTCCAATTCAGATGCAACACCTACTGCACCAGTCGTACCTTTTCAACTGGAACGTCTTTGCTGTCCTCTTATCCTCAAATGTGCTTGTGACCGCATACGAGTTGAACGGCGCAGACTCATCAATCTTGAAGTCGATGCATTGCATCGTTTGGTAGTACGAGCCTCCCAGCGACTCTAGCTTCTCGCGAAAGATCTCTTCAGTGTACATCTGGCGGAGCACCAGTGCGAAGTCATAGGCTGTGTCCTTGATGTTCTCCATGAATGTCCAGACTCGTCCGGGAACGCTGTATCGTTGTCAGCCAGACGACTTCAATCACGAGTACAGAGCACACTTACACTCTCTCGCCATCCTTGTAAGTCACACTGGTCCGGCAGGCGAACCCAAGCTGAAGCATTGGCTCAACCAGCCCAAGCTGGTCAAGCTGCTCGGTCGTGCGGGGGAACAGAGCGATTGCGCGACCATATGCATCTTGCGTTTCCTTCTCGTGCTGTTCCAGAACACAGGCAGTGACACCGAAACGTTGCAGTTGGTATGCCATTAGAAGACCAACCGGGCCACCGCCTACGATCACGACGTCGTATTCGGCGCTTCTATCCTCGAGACCCATTGTTGCGACTTTTGCACAAGGCTGTTGATAAGTTTCGGTGTCAATACAACAACTGAGTCGCCAGACGAAGTAGCGTGAAGGCGTGGGGTATAAATAGTAGCACCACCTATTTAATGGCACGAAAATACCTTAAATAAGATTATGCTTTGGAAGATCAAAGGCACGGCATGCCACAAGAAAACTTGAATTAAATCTCAAAATTTTGCAACGGCCGAGGAAACGCGCGGCGAATAGTAAAGTTGTGTTGCCCGGGGAGGGCTTGACCTTCAGAGTCCGGCCGAAGACCAGTCAATTGGCCGTATAAGCCGAAGCAACACATCTCAAGGTACATTGCTCACTTAATGAGCCCACTAAAGACTTCAGCTGAGCCTACCATCAGAATGACCAACTCGTGACCCCCTTCAGGGCATTGTGGCTAGACAGGGAACTCCCCCGGGCATCTCTGATAAAAAACAACAAGTCTTTTCGGGCAAACGCATCTCCCCCGTCAAGCTTGTAACCGAAAGCAGACCCGAGACAGGATAAGGTTGCGTTGCCTCTCTGTAGGGTGGGGGGCAAGGGTTCCCGTCGGGCGATAAGAGACGCCACGCCCTCATCGGCGAAAGTCCGTGACTCAGCCACTCATTGACTATCACTCCTTTCTTAAATCAGTTAATCGTTCTCTTATCAGTCTATCATTCTTTTATCATTTAATCACTCTGTTCTCTTGATCGCAAGATTGGATGGTTATCGGTACTGTTCTATTATCGCGGTAGCGCTACATGAAGTGCCGCGTAAACAGCCTTGGCCGGGCTCCAAGGACAACGCTACTCAACCAGTTGGTCTATCTACAAGTTGTATAGGAGGCGGCGCAAATACAAGCTGGCATATTGGCAAAGATAATCGATTCGAGGGCTTTTAACCAGGTTTCTCCAAAGATATATCACCCGATTCAACGGCTCGGGGTCGCTTGTAATCCTTGAAGTACAAAGTCAAGGCACAGTTCAAGGTCTTCCATTCTTTCCTCCTTTACCTAATTGATCTCTGTTAATCATTTAACTGCAGTGTAGCTATTCTTCTTCTTCTCCCCTCCTACTTCCTTGACAAACAACGTCGAGTGATAGTCCCCATCATGCAGTCGGAGAAACAAAGCAAGACCGACCAGGTCATTAAACCTCAGACAGCAGAAGGCATTTCCCTTGAGGCTATCGAGCAGTGTAACATGATCGATCCCAAGATACACAAGAAGGCGATGCTCAAGCTCGATACTGTCGTCTTGGGATGCTTCGGTATCATGTACCTGTTGGCCAACCTCGACCGCAACAACCTCGTGAGTCTTGCCCAGACCGTTTGAACCGGCGGATGAATGACAGACTGACCATCGACCAGGGAAACACAAACATCATGGGCCTCCCTAAGGACCTGAACCTCAAGGGCAACGAGTTCGGCAATGCTGTCACCCTCTTTTTCGCCACCTACGTTGCTTTCGAGGCCCCGTGCTCCATCGCCCTCAAAGTTGTCGGACCCAAGAATCTCCTCTCATTTTGCATGCTCGGCTGGGGCGTCGTTTGCCTCGGAATGGGATTTATAAAGAATGCAAACCAGTTGTATGCTTGCCGACTCCTCATTGGTTTTTTCGAGGCTGGTCTGATCCCGTGCATTAACGCTTACATTGGCATGGTGTACTTGCGGTCAGAGATGTCCCTTCGGTCAGCCATAATGTACGGCTTCAGTGCCTTTGCCGGCGCCGTGGGCGGTCTGCTTGCTTCTGCTGTTTCCAACATTCACGCTGGTGGTCTGCCTTCGTGGTCCTGGCTGTTTATTATTGAGGGACTCTTGACCATTGTCCTGGTTCCCGTCATATACGCTGTCTTCCCCAAGGATCCTCGGACGGCATGGTTCCTGAACGAAGAGGAACGTCGTGTCATCAGCCTTCGATTCGAGCTCAACCCTCACCTGTCGATGAACGAAGCGTTTTCATGGCCCAAGATCCTCAGCGCCTTCAAGGACCCGAAAATGTACCTGCACTCGATTCTCGAATTCTCCGTCTCGCTCTCGCTGTTTAGCTTCATGACGTTCCTGCCGGCCATCATCCGCGGTCTCGGATACACCAGCGTCCACGCACAGCTTCTCACCGTCCCTGTTTATCTGTGGGCCACGGTATCCTACGTTATTATCGCCCTCTTGTCGGATCGTGTTGGTCTGCGAGCTCCTTTCATTCTTGGTGCCTGTCTCTTCCTCATCATCGGGTATTCCATCAATCTAGGTACTGAGGCTCTTGGCGCCCGTTATGCCGCCGTCTTCATCATCGGCTGCGGTGTCTATGCTACTGTACGTTCTTTCAAATTTCATTTCGTGATCTATAATCGGGACTAATCATATTTAATATCTACAGGCCGGTCTTTCCATTGTGTGGCTCAATAGCAACTTTGCCGGCCACTACAAACGTGCAACCGCCCTCGGCGTCACCTTCAGTGTCGGAAACTCATCCGGTATCGTCGTCGGCCAAATTTTCACTGCTCAGACAGCGCCTCGCTACGTAAGAGGCACTGGCATTACCATGGGTTTTGCAGGCTTTGCCATGCTGCTCGTCTGCGTCAATGCCTTGGCGCTGCACTACGTGAACAAGCAGCGTGTCGAGCGTCTTGCCGCACGTGAGCCATCTACAGGTAGAGAACAGGGAGAGAAGGATGAGGTGTGTGATTACGATGACACTTTCAAGTACAACCTGTAATGCATTTAGTCAAGAATGTGGGACCTGACGAGAATGAACTTGATCAACTGGCGGGCCAACTCTCAGAGTTTAATATGATAAGTCTGAATTAAAGAACCCTGTAGAATCCCCAATAAGTAGGTAAGGCTTACTATACTGTATTTAATAATAGTGAGTCATGTACAAATCTTTCAAAAGCCCTAGCTTATTCATAATAACGTGGCTCGACTGTTAGTGCCTATAGCCTTGCCCCCCTCCCAGGTAGTGAATTGCGGCGGTCTGGTGATAGTTAGCCTAGGTGGGTGCTGACGAAACCCGCTATAAATAAGAGTCGTTTGCCACCACCTCTAGCTAAAAGTTAGGGATATGTTTAGGAATGGGATGCTGGGGCGAGCCAGCAGCACGTTTCTGCATTAACGGGAGGGTGGAAAACCTAACTAGGTATAATAAAGCCAAAAGTATTGTCACTCTTGCGACAACTGCAAATGGTCTTGTCAACCCCATTCTATCGAGGGTAAATTCAGAGGCGGGCTTATTTTTTCTGCCGTAATGGTGCTGGCTACGCCGCATTTAGTCACATTGTCGTCTAAAGAAGATATCGAGACCCGGAATGACAGACTGGTTTGTTAAACACCTTGGAATCACAGAGACGGCCTGACCCCTGTTGGCAGATTTGAGAAGATAGATTGGGGGGAGAAGTGAGGCCTCAGAGTACAAGAAAGTGGTACGATCAAGCCAGCTTTATATCTTTTAAAAACTCGCGTAAAAACGATCACATGCTCCGCCGTCCGATATTATTGGCCAGTGTGAGCAAGTTCCCTTTCATGTGCTCGCCAGAAGTGAGCGGCCATAACTTGTCACGTCTTCTGTATAAAATGGGCAATGCCCCCGCGGGGGGCGTCCAATTATAGCTAGTGTAAAAAAAAAAAAACTCCTACTCGACATAGTATTATAGTGCTTCTTAATAATTACGCCTCGCAATTTGCTCTGCTGCAGATAATAATACTTCCCAAATCTCACGCACGCCACTTCTCCTAGAAAACGGGTTACCTTTTATCTTAGTCGCTACTATTGCCTTGATCCGATTATCGGTCCCAATAGTTCGACCTAATTATTCGTAAAGAGGCAAGGTAGTGTGTATAAAAGAGTACATAGCTGCCCGACTATACTTTGATGCGCCCTGAACTTGGGTGCCATGCTGGACCAACCCCTCACACCCTCCGCTGCATCGTCACATACACCACGGCCTCTCCCCTTTAAACCAGAGCCGACTTTCTCTCCTCAGTCTCACGGCCGAGATGCGCCGTCGCCACAACAGTCTCATCATCCGCCGCAAAGGCCTTGTCTCCAAACGCCAGCGCGATTTCCTCAAGTGTGTGGTTGGCAGTCTCGACGTAAAAGAAATACGCCAGTGCGACTGAAATAAGACAAAATCCCGCGATAATTACATAGTAGTAACCCCCAATGCCCGCGAAGGCGCCCGGCGCTGACATGCCAATCACAAAGTTGAACATCCAGTTTGAACAGGTAGCCAGCGCCATGCCCTTGCTTCGGGCTCGCAGCGGGAAGATCTCGGCCGGGAGCAACCAAGGGATAGGGCCCCAGGTGAAGCCGTAGATGGCGTTGTATATCATAACGAAAGCGTAAATGCCGTGTGCACGAGTGTTGGGGTCTGAAATATGAGCTTCAGTGAAGGCGCAGACGACACAAAGGGCGATAGCCATGAGGATGCCTGTCATTGTTATTCAGTCAGCGATTTCCCTGGGATGCAAGCATGCTGGGTAGCAATTCATGTAAGCTTACCACCGAGGATCAATAGCGGGCGTCGTCCCCATTTATCGGCCAGCCACCAGGTGAGGATCGTAGCGGCGACGTAGGGGACTGAATTAGCAGCCGTGTAGAGTAGAGACTTCTGCACGCTGAGGCCTGCGTTGGCGAGCGTCGTGGGTAGGTAGAAGGAGATGACGTTTATTCCGTTGAGCTGGGCAAACATCTGTGCCGTGATTCCAACGAGGGTGCGCTTGCGATAACGCGTGAACATCTCGAGCCATGTCGATTGTCCAAGACTGGCCTCGTAACGCACAGCCTCCTTGATCTCCACCATGACCTGCTGGACGTGATGGGCCTGCGTATCACCGTCCGGAGTGTGAAGATCCGCGACCGTCTGAAGGCACTCCTTGGTGAAACCGTTGCGGGCGAGCCAGCGAGGCGTTTCGGGGAGGAAGAAGGACATGGCAAACAGAACGAAGGCCAAACCTACTTGGATGAAGTAGGGGCCCTGCCAGGACACGCTCTTCGGGATAAGGTAGTAGAAGCCCAAGTCAACCCAAGTTGAGAGCGCGTAGCCACCGATAAGAAACGTGTACTCGACTCCCACCATGAGGCCTCGACGATGTGGTGCGGCAATCTCAGTCTGAATGACGGGGACAGTCATGGAGAGGAAACCCACGCCCAGGCCCTGAAGGGTCCGGCCGATAACGAAAGTCTTGAAATCGGGAGCGAACGCTTGAATAAAGGCGGTGGCGAAGTAGATGAAGCCGCCTAAACGAACGCACTTTTTCCTGCCAATCATGTCGCCGAGACTACCTGCAATAAGGGAGCCGATGGCGGCCGAGATCTGAAGACATGCCACGAGAATGCCTGTTACGGATGGATCAATGTGACCATCGGTCCCGTCAGCACCGCCATAGTCGCCGAAGAACCTCGAGAGGAACACCGGGTTTACCAGAAGTCCGGAAACGATACCTAGGTTTGGCGTCAGTATAAGAATGCAAGATGCAAGGGCTCAGGTATGAGGTGGTAGACAACGGACCTTGGTCATAACCGAACAAGGCATCACCCAAGCTTCCAAAAGCGCAAGTCATCCAAAGGAGAGGCTTTCCTCTGAAAGGATAGCGGTGGTGAATGGTCTTTGGCTTGAGCTTGGATTCAAGCCACGAGACCGGGGCCACAGGGAGGTTGTCACCATCTCCAGGGGACGGGACTGTCTCAGTCTGGGTCGGCGACGGTGGCTTGTCCATACCTGCAGCGGAGGCAGTAAAGTGATGCGTTCGAACGTTTTCAAGGTATCTTGAGAATGAAGACAGAATAGGTTGATCTTGTCTCACCCCATCAAACGAAACCTGGGGCCCCAGATTATATAGACCTGGAGCAGGCAGACAGACACCTGAAAAGCATTGACATTTAGAGAACTAGGACTGACCCGCCCGCAACCCCACGGGGGAACCCTGGAGAGCATAGAATTCGTTCTGATCCCATGGCTGCACTAGTAGTTGCATCAGTCGAGTACCGTTTGTACATTGGTTGTACAGCTCCAAGGTGGATCGCCGAAGTTACTGCAGGATGGGGGCGTTTAGAGAAACGGGATTAGTGGCCAACGGGCTGGCGTTCCGGCGGAACCTATTGAGCCGGCGGAACCTTGACCCGCCGGAACCGTAAATATACGGAGTTGCCGTTGACCCGCCGGATGGAGGACTGGGATTGCCCTGATCGGCACAAGGGACACACTGTTGATGCAGCATGACGCGCCTGTTGCTCGGGGGGTTTTGTCCATAAACGCAACACTACCAGGCAAGATCGTGTAAGAACACAAGAGAAGTTCATCGCTCCGTAACTACCGCGGTTCTACTAAAGCTCAACCGCTTACTGCATATAATCGCCACTCCAGTTAGAATCCCAGAGCCAGAAGAGACTATTTCCCCCATAATCTACCATCTGTGGCTGATCTTCACTACCGTGAGGCTCTTCATAGCCATCTGATTGTATAGATGGCACTTGGCAAAATTCTTGTTGTGTTAGTGGCAACAAGCCGTCCTGAATATTCACATCCTGTCTCGAAACCATTGTTGTATCAGATCGGGGCAGTTCATCTTGGATTGTTGGGAATACTGCAAGATATTGGTGTCAGCTTTGTTCCGCGGCCATCGAGATCCAGCAAAGGCAGAATCCTTACTTCGTTGAACAGATGCTAAGCTCTCGTTCAGGCGCTGAGCCCTGTTCGGCCAGGCTTGGTCGTTAGTGCTTTGGTCTCTCGTGCTCAGGGTAGCCTCTAAGGGAAGCCGAAGTGTATCTTCAACTGATAAGTGGCCAGAATTGTCCGCAGCCCTGAGTTGGTGCTCTGCACGAGAGCCCACTACAGGTGCCGACGTGACTGGGCCAAGCATGGCTTCTGCCTCTCGCCGGAGAAGCAGACCAATGAGATTTTTGAGAACGACGCTGCTCTGGCTCGAGAGCGCTGAGCGCTGACCCAGAAGCTCCTGCAGTCTAAATACCTTGGTAATAGTCCGTTTGACACCCTGGGCTGAATCGGAGAGAGGGTCGGAAAGGGCGACTAAAATGAGCACTATTGCCGCGTGAAACAGGTTCAGGGCCATAAAGGCAACAAGATGGCTATCTGTGGCGAGTTGGGCAAGTTGGGGTAGTTCGGTCACACGCGCGGTCCGAACCGCTGCATTCCACCAATGCTCTGAGCTCGCGTTTTTTTCCCACCCATATGATGCATGATCACGGGGCGATAGGCCGTCGGTATGGGGGTTAAGCGGCGACGTCTGCGATTGTACCGAAGGCGATCCAGACTGAGGTACATTCGTATATGGGGCTGAGGCCTTCATCGACAAGTTCTCAACTTGGCGAGCCAAAAACGGCCGGTGAAGCACTATCAGCAGGTTGTCGAAGGTTAACTGCAGTGAAAGAGACTGTAAGATATATGCCTGACTGCCCCATTCAGTATTACCTGAGTGGTGGTCCTTGTTTAGGTCTAGGGACAGGTGCTGCGGCAACTGGCGGCGCCAAACAAGCAGCCTTTGCGTCACCTCGCTAACCAGCGAAGCGTACGTGGACTCGAAATGTTGTTTGGCAGACCGCACCGACAGTGAGCCAAATATATTCTTTAGGGCGGGGGATGCGACGAGGTACAGTTTACTCAGTCCGGTTTGATATGGTGAGTAGGTGATGTCTGGTAGCCCCTGTTCGACCGACTGTTGGGTAAAGTATGGGGATTCGGTGAATTCGGTTGGCATTTCCACACTGCAATCCTCATCATTGATGCTCAAAGGCCGTCCATATGAGATAGAAGCGAACCTAGCTGGTTAGAATATTGTCTTGAAACGAGATGCTCTGATTCATACCTGTCCCAGGTATAGATAGTCCACCATACTCTTTTGCGCTCTTCTATGTCGCCGAACGTTCCACCTGTGAAATCACGATGTAGACCCATGGCATGAGACATCTTGACAGCTGCTCCCAAAAGGGCGAAAGACAAGTTTGGCCGGCCATGGTAAACATGATGAGATCCCAGCAAGATGCATGTCTGCACTGCTGCAATCGAATGCTGATCCATCACATGGACAAGTCGCGACTCGACAATCTTCAGCAAGTCGTCGCTCCAGAGGCGCCATTCTTCACCACCATTGTGAACGGCCCTCTTAGACCGATACCAAGCTGCCATGCACAAAGTCATCGACAGCAAGGTTAGAAACGGCGCATCGGCAGGGTACGCGTAGCCGTCCTTGATTGACAACAGACGCTGCCGGAATTTTGGTTCGTATATAACCAGCGAAAACCAGTGGACGGACTCGAAGTAATCCTCTAACAGCGAGTGAATCGCTTGTTGATCAGGGAACCTGCTGCCAAGCATCGCAGATATTGGCAGGCGCTCATCGCCAGTCCTTCTCCGAGGGTTCCGCATTCCACATCCTCCGTCCGGAATGGCCGAGGTTATGTGGTCGTCAATACTTTGGCTTCCAAGGCTGTATATCTGTCGCAATGTTTGCAAGTGTTTATCGAGAAAGTAGTGGGAGTAGTGTTCTGACCTTGCGCGCGATACCCATGGCCGACTCTGACTCTCCATAGTCTACGGGAACCCATGAGCCGCGTCGATCCGCTGGTACCGGCGTCTTTGTGCCTGCAGGCCGTCCCCCAACGCTGTCAACCACATCGTGCTCGGAAGGAAGCGAAGGTTGCCGCGTTGGCGGCACGGTTGTGCCCTGGCTATCATCGCTGGTGCCTCTGGACTGAACTCGTCTTCAACAGACGCGTTGACCCGTTACCATGCAAGAACATCAGCTTCGAGTAGAACCACTCACTTTCGCGTATTTTCCCCAACCCGCCGATTGCAACTCCTGCCCTTGCCTCTGGAAGGCTCATCAACCTGTGCCGGCTCACAAGGCACATTGGCACGAGAACAGAGAGAGCATGGCCGATAAGAATCGCACTGCACACTCTGGGTCAGCGGCTATTTTGGCACACCGGGAAGACTTACTCGACTTCTGTTCCGACGGCATCTGCGGCAAGCATTGGAGACCCTCGTAGGCATCCGCCGGGTCGTGGGTGGAACAGAATCCAACCCCAACGTTCCGTTCCCACTGGGCGCAGACATTGTTGATAACTCCGTCTACCCTGAATGCGATGACGACGATGATGGTGTTGATGGTGCCTCCCTACTAATTGATCAAAGGCCCCTCTCTACCTCGGTACGTCCACTGTGTTGAAAATCTGCGACAATGGAAATTGTCAAGTCGGAATGATCCCGTGACCCGGTCCGTTTTCCTCTCCACCCTTTCTTAGCCGCCGGAGAAAGCCTTGATTCGTCACAACAACTATTCTAGCTCAGAGCTAGGCCAATTATTCTTAGCTCCGAACTCTAAGGAGATCCGACTCTAAGGAGATATGCATAAATAGGGTAGCAGTATAGAGCAGCTAATCGACCCGCCGGGTAGAAGGTAGCACTGCAAGCAAATAAAATTCGCGATGAGGACGCACGAATTTTGTGAATACGTATACGTTGGCCGCGGACTGCGCATTCAAAATTATTTAACCTGGCTTATCTTCGTTGTCAAGAGCTGGTTAATCCCACCCTAGATTCTATCGGTCTATACTTCCACGCCATATCTGCCCCCCTCTGACTTCCTTCCAAACAATCCGTCAAATCCTATGATCCCGCCAGTTCGCAATCCCTATATATTATCTAAATTATGGCCCTAGGATCTATAATCCAGGAGGTAGTTCCTGAGCAGAACACCAGTTTATCAACGGAGACGAAAAGTGTTAGCTTCCCACTCCTGAAACCCTCGGCAGCATGACTGACACTGATATCCAACCTAACAGAACCTCTCGTTTATCCTGAATAAACCCCATGACGTTCAGTTCGCCGAACGACCTATACCGAAGATCTCCGCAGCCCACCAAGTCCTGGTAGCCGTCAATTACACGGGTATCTGCGGCTCTGATGTACACTACTGGGAACATGGCAGGATTGGCCACTTCGTGGTCGAAGAGCCTATGGTCCTAGGTCACGAATCCGCCGGCACTGTCGTCGAGGTCGGCAGCGCCGTCAAGACGCTTGTACCCGGTGATAAGGTCGCTCTCGAACCCGGCTATCCCTGCCGGCGGTGTAACGACTGTTTGGCTGGCCGATATAACCTCTGCCCAGATATGGTGTTCGCGGCTACCCCTCCCTACGATGGCACTCTTACAGGCTTTTGGGTTGCACCGTCCGACTTCTGCTATAAGCTGCCTACCAATGTTTCCCTCCAAGAGGGTGCATTAATCGAGCCTCTTGCGGTTGCGGTACATATCGTTCAGCAAGCAAGAGTTAGACCCGGCGCGACTGTTGTGGTCATGGGAGCCGGCCCAGTCGGTCTTCTCTGCGCAGCAGTCGCCAGGTCCTTTGGCGCTATCAAGGTCGTCAGTGTGGATATCATACAGTCAAAGCTCGATTTCGCCATAGAGCTAGCCGCCACACACACATACCGATTCCAGCGCATTTCGCCAGAAGAGAACGCGAACGCCCTACTCGAGCAATGCAACTTTGGCAAGGGTGCAGACGTTGTCATTGACGCCAGCGGGGCGGAACCATGCATTCAAACGAGTTTGCATATTGTAAAGATGGGAGGCACCTACGTTCAGGGTGGCATGGGCAAGGCAGATATTACTTTTCCTATTATGGCCTTGTGCCAGAAGGAGGTCACCGTGCGAGGCAGCTTCAGATATGGTCCTGGAGATTATCGACTTGCTATTGAGCTGGTGGCCAATGGCAGCGTAGATATTAAGAAACTTATCACGTGCGTCGTTGGTTTCACACAGGCAGAGGACGCGTTTAAGAAGGTCAAGGAGGGCCAAGTCATCAAGATCCTGATTGCTGGGCCTAATGAGCGCGTGAATGCTCTGTCGAGCGTGGGAATCGGCGAGAATATCACTGAGAACAGCAGTGGCATTACGGGGGGATGCTGCTAATATTGGGACCAATAGGGCACACATAGGATGAGAGATATAGCCAACCCTATGGAATTGAAGTTCTGTCTGGTGGGATAGTGAACACATGTTGGTACTGAGTTAGCAACACCGCCAGGCCTGCCTCCTGGTGAAAAGGGAAACGTAGACAGTGTAGGTGAAGATGGAGCTGGAATGCTTCCGTGAAATGAGAGCGAAGCCATTGCTGATTGGTTCGAATTGACTGTCTGGAGTCAAGTTGACTCTAGAAGCGAAATCCGCAGTGTATTCGGGTGTCCAGGTGGCGACACGGTGAAGAGAGAGGTCTCTGCCAGATATAGGTCTCCTAGCTCAGTAACTAGTGTCGAGTGTAAGCTCTTCCTTATGTGCGAGGCGGATCTGGAAGTTGTTTTTCTCGAAGAAGCTAGACCCCTCCTTTAAGCGGAGGAGGATTCGCCGGCCTGCGTAGTTGTTGGTCGCAATGGGTTGTCTACGTGGAGGAGCGATATGAACGTCCCCTGGGGCTTGTTGCGCGGCTACCTTGGTGACGTCGGCGAAGCTCACTGCCTTTCGGCGGGGTGTTTGGCTGTCCGTTGGCAGTTTGGCAAGTGGTTTCTCGGCGGGCCGCAGTTTAGGCTGTGGCACCGCGTTGCTGAATCCTGCGGTTTCTCCCGAGTGGAGGAATTGGTTCCAGTGGCGGAGCAGGGACCAGTGAAGTCGTTGGCGACGGCGTGGGCATCGCCATGGTCGAATTTTCTAGCGCAAGTGGCGATGGACTCTGCAAAGGTGCGGAGCACATCAGCTCGGGTTGTCATGCGTTCCTTCTCTTTCGCGATAATCTTTCGTGTCTCAGCTTCGAGGTGTCGGGTGTCGGGTGTGTCGAGAGATTCGTCGTCTACTACCATTGCTGGCGGCCTTTGTCGAGCCGTCGCGTCGGGCTGCAGTTGGCAGAAATGGGCGGGTTATCACAGGGGCGGCGCCTCTCATGAGCTCTTCCTGTGCATCATGGTGGAAGCCGTCGGGAAATTGTCGGCGGCCCCTTGTGCCGGTCGCAGGACGATTTGGTGGTTGACACTCAAAAAATGGACGCGCCACACTTTTGTAGCGCCTATCCCCCTTTATATCACAACACCACCATCACCGAATACGCTAGGTAGCACAGTGAGGGAGACCTTTAGCGAATATTCGTCGTGCCTGCCTGGACCACAACCGCATGCTTGATGAAAAGTTTCCACCGAGGTACAATTTATGGGCGCATTTGCTCACATTAATGAACTTGACTGCTCTAGGGCTTCTCTGTGTGCAGCTTTGTTAGTCGCCTAGGTACCTTATATGTGGCACTCCAGTACCTATCCACTAGGAGACCCACCATGGCCCGGGTCGATACTGCGCTCGCCCTGCGCATCCCAAAGGGAAGCCAACCACTAAAACGAGCCTAGCCGCTGATGGGAGTGGTTTTCAGTGTCGTGATAGTGAACCACCGCCAACTGATGCGAACCTCTTGGTTGGAGCTAGGTAAGAGGTACCCGGTACTGGTACCGGGAGTGCACGCCGTCGTCGGGGAAGTACACTCGGCCTTGTATCCTCAGGAACAAGCATCAAAACAAGTCATCCCGCAACCGGAGATAAGATGACAGATCTACATATTGGTAGCTTTGATTTTGAATGGGGACGGGATGTGCCGTCAAACCAGGGTCAGATCAGCCAGTCAGAGGCCACGAGTGGGAGCCTCTTTGGCCAAACAACGGCCTCTGGCTGTGCAACAATTGGTGACTCAGAGCTTGATTAGCAGCCCTGGCCAGTAGCTCGCCCACAACCAACCCACTGTGACCACCTGTCCCGATGTACCGTGTGACTGAGTCACAGCCGCAGCTACCTTAATAATTAGCATCTGGGCATAATTTATAGGATGAGAAAGGCTGAACAAGGCTCTGTCTACTCAGTAGCTGATAAAAGCTGCCTGGCCCTCGCTTTCTTGTGCGAACAGATTCACTCACTCAGCCACATGCAAACACCCCCAGCCTCGAAACTCGACGTTTACCCTTGGCAGGACAGACTTCGCAATGTCTCTTGCACACGCTGACGTGTCTTTTCAGCACCCTTCATCGGATCATCCCGCTGGAGTCGCGCCGTTTGAGGTCGATTATGATAATAAACGTGGTAGGTAACAGGGACCCCACAAGATTAACTTGACAGCCAAAATCCAAATCGCCCACTAATCATCCAATTTTCAGCTTATCTTTACTGTCACTGGCGACTGAACATAAATGAGCCACCGACGAACGCACCGGCCGCGGCCACCGAGACACAAGTTTTGCCCTGCTTGACGCTAGACCTCCTTTTCACGCCTATTTCATTCTGGTCGCGGGATACACCTGTGGTACCACAGTCGGATACATGTAATTGGAACAGCGTCAAACGATTAGCAGCCGGCGACGCCCCGTCTTCAGATGACAAAGGGCTAACGTGGGGCGAAGCCAGCCAGAGCGAGGCTTTTCGCTCCGTTCAAGACGTGATAAAAAAGAGCTTAAATGGCTGCAGTGCCTCGATCACGGCGGTGAAGCTTCTTTTGCCGGCTGTTACTGGTTATATCGTGCGCAGTGATATAATCGAGCGACGATTCCTCACCTGTCAGCTAGCCGAGAAGGTCACCGGCTTTACCACCTCGAGACAGCATATCCAGGCTTTCGAGTACAACGATGACTTTACTGTCCAGCACGCCTTGAGCGCGGCCGTTGGTGCCATATACCTTAAAACTCTGCCTGGCGTTGATAGAGGAATTGTTGAGCGTGTCATGGCTTCGTTGGAAGCAGATGTCAAAGCTCGACTCTCTTTCCCCTGGATCGTTGACAAGCCCCTGCCCAGAAAGCGACTGGCGCTGGTTGACGGAAAGCCTTACCCAGATGTGTCTACGGCGCCGCTAGGCATCTATCGTGCTGCCAAGGCACTTGGTATCGACCTTGTGGTTATAGATCGCGAGGGGCACTGGACAAAAGATGCGGCCGCTGACGAGTGGCGTGACGAGTTCATTGCGTGTGATCTGACACTGGACCCCGGCCTACCAAATCGGATCGCCGCTGCCTTGTCCAGGAGCAAGGGACCAATACATCACATCACAACTTACTCCGATATGCTCCTGCCCGCTACTGCAAAGGCGGCTGAGAAGGTGGGACTCTTTACGAACCCGGCCGCGGCAATGGATATATGCCACGATAAGAGACGAACACGCGAGTTTGCGCCTCCAGCCGGCTTCCAGATCCTCCCCGTAACAGGCGTCGAGGACATGAAGAGGCAGCTGGCGTCCCTGGCGTCCCCACTTAGGTATCCCCTCATTGTCAAGCCGATCACTGGATACTCCTCGGAAGGTGTCACCAAAGTCCTGTCAGAGCCGGAGCTCTTTGATGCTGTACGCCGAAACGAAGAAACATTCCCTGATATTGGTAGTCTCATAGAGCCGTACATATCGGGACCGGAGGTGGATGCAAACTTTGTCCTTATGGATGGAGAGCTCGTTTGGGGCGAGATAAACGACGACTTTCCATCCTCTGCCGAGATATTCCAAAACGACATGGGAAGTCGTGGAAAAGTCGCATCGCCGTCGACGCTTCCATCTCAGATCTCGGCGCCGGTACCAGCGTTGTCTCAGTCGTTCGCTGAGCTGTCAACGATAATGCCGTCGATATTGCCTGAGCAAGAGATTGCGCTGCTGAAATCGCATCTGACCGAAACACTCCTAAGACTTGGTTTCAGGAACGGTGTGTTTCATTTAGAGGCTAGAGTGCAGGACAGCAAGATGAAGTATGTCATGACTGCAAGTGGGGTGGAATTGCTGCGGTCTCGGTCCGACATGGTCAGGACCTCCGAGCCAAAGGTGTTCCTTATCGAAATCAATCCAAGAGTTCCAGGCCACCAGGAGACGTTCGCAGTTGAGTACACTTACGGGATTGACTACTTTGCCAATCATATGCTCGCGGCGCTGTCACCATCGCCTTCCGCACCACAAAATGACGACGATCACCTGGTCTTAAAGACTGTCATCCGCTCGCTGAGCCATCCGCTGCCGGACTGCGCACAGTATCCCATACACGTGGTCTTCATCCCGCTTGACCGGGGCGGCACCTTTGTGGGCGCAAAGCTGCCCACAGAGGACCTAATGCAATATGTCCCCGAGCACTTGGTCTTCATGAAGCGTGGCGAGGTATTTCAGGATCCGGCAAAGGACGGGAAGTGGCCATTCGTGGCCTACTTTCAGGTGGTCGCGAAACTGACCGGGGCTGAAGGGCGGGCTCAGGCTAGAACGATCGGTGAGTTAGTGAGGGAGTCTTTCGAGTACATGATGGAGTGACGGAATTTTTTTACAAGGAAAATCTATACTATAATACCTACCTTATTTCTTAATAGTTATTCCTTTTAGAAATAGGACAACCTGCCATCTTTGCAACATCTTATGAATTATATAAGCAGGCTGATATGGACATTAGATAACTAGTTATAACTAAGAGCAATTTTATATAGTAGAGTTAAAGAATAATATATATTAGAACTTATAGCTATTTTTACCTTATTCTTTCTTAACTAGGAGGGGAAATTCCTTTCTTCTTATACCTATTTTCTAGCCTAGCTAATTAGCCTAATTATACTTTTTTAGTATATCTTTTTATTACTTAATTCTATTAGTAATTAGGATTAGTTTCTCTAAACCTAACTCCTTTATCTATATACTACTATCCCTTTCTAGCTTTCTACTATAAGTAGGTCTCTAGCTAATTATATATATTATAATCTCTACTTAAATTATAATATACCCTTTAAGTAGATTTATTCTTCTTTTACCTATACTACTTTAAAAAAGTATCTTAGAATTTAATTAAGAATAATATTCTTTAATAAATTAATCCTTTATAACTACTTTTATTAAATTAAAGAATATTTAAGTCCTTTATATATATAGTTCTTTCTAATCTTATTATAATTACTTTATCCTCTTTTTCTTTCTATATTTACTAACTTACCTATATTATTTTCTTTAATTATTTAAAAGTAAAGTAATAATAGCTTTAATAGTATACTACTTTCTAGTAATATAATCTTATTATAATATATAAAATAAGGCACTTCTAATAATTATATAGAAGTATTTAAACTACTTCTAATCCTTTAAAAGGTTAGTTTCTTTTCCTCTATTTATTATCTTTAATATACCTTATCTTTATTCTTCTTCTACTTATAAGGAAACCTCTAATCTTAATAATATTCTTAACTTTAAATATACTATCTCTACTTTAAAGCGTTTATAGGGTATTAATAACTTAAATCTAGTAAAGTAGTCTTAGCTTTTAACTCCTATAGAGGTTTAAGAAGTAAATAGTATATCTATTATATTTAATTTTAAGAGTATATACTATTCTTTTTAATTATTTTATTTTTTATTAACTTTTAATCTTAATAATATAGACTTAAATAATATTATTATATTATTCCCTACCTCTTTAGGCTTAAATAATATTAATAACTATTCCCCTACCCCTAGTTTAGTTAAAGAGGATACTTAAGTATCCCTAAAAACCTAAAGAAAGTTTATAGCTATAACTTAAACTATTATATATACTCTTAATAGTCTTTATAAGGTCCTATATATAATATATATATATTCCCTTATAGGAAACCTTTAAAGTTATAGGTATTATTATATTATAACCTTAATTAATACTACTTCTCTTTATTATAGTAAGCTAATAAGTTATTACTTTAAATATTATATAAAAGGAACTTAGTATTAGGCTATTAAGTTTATACTTCCTTTTTATCCTTTTATTCTTAATTATATTCTAATTAAGTTTTTTAAGAATCCTTTCTTTTTATATATTCTACCTTAACTTCTAGCTATAAAAATTAACTTTCTAGATAATCTTAAAGCTACTAGTTTTTTAATTATTAATAAAATAAATTCTTTTACTTCTATATTATTAAAAATTATAAAAAAGCTTATAATTAAGGCTCTTCCTATTAAATAATACTAGACTTTAGTAGGTCTTAAGGCTTATAAAAAGGAATAGAATTCCACCTAAACCTTTTTTAAGATAATAGTAACTATAAGTAAGTATAAGTCTTTTAGCTTATTCTATAGATATAAAATTATATTTAATACTTATTTAGCTAAATTAGAATAGTATAAAGCTATTATAGATTATTTAGTAAAAAATCTTATTAATAAATAATAAGATTATTTTATATCTTTCTTATATCTTTTATCCCCCTTTTTTCTATTAGCGTCTAAAGATACTATTATTAGGTTTTAGTCTAAATTAAACTCTTATTACTTTTAAACTTTATAATCCTAATTAAATCTTAAAAATAAATAAATAACTATAGTAGTAGGTTCTTTATAAATCTATCTACTAGTATATCTTTTATTAGAAGATATAATACCTTAAATAATCTATATTAATATTCTTACTAAAGCTATAAATAATAAATATTAATATATTATAATTTAGTATTAATTCTTTAATTTCTAGCTATAACTAGATAAATTATTTATTAATTATTATAGAAAATTTCATAGGGTAGTTTAGGAATAATATCTATTTCCTAGAAAAGACACTTAAATATAACTATTTCTTTTATAATATTCTAGAGAGCTAATAACTTAGCTTCTATAGTAGAAGTTATTATTATACTTTAATATAATACTTTCTAGGCTATAATTCCTTTAAAAAGGATTATAATAAATCCCTAACTAGATCTCCTTATATCTAAATTATTAGTATATAAGGTATTACTTACTATTTATAAAATAATTACCTCTTTATTCTTACTATATATAATATAGTAATCCTTAGTATTAAGAAGATACTAAATAATATAAATAGCTATATTAAAATATATTTAAAATAGGTTTATTAAATAATAAGATAGTATTAATACTATAAATATAATATCTACTCTTATTATAATTAATATATATAGGATTAACCTAATAATCTCTTAGTATTTCTTTACCTCTCTTAGTATTACTTATCTTATTCTTTTAGTAAATTACTACTATAATAGAGGAGTTTAGACTTAATTAAGACTACTTACCCTAAACTTAGCTATAATCTTCTTTATATATACTTTATAGGAGAGCTATACTATTTTCTTCTTTTAGTTATAAATAATCTTAACTCCTAAGAACTATAATACCTCTCCTTAATTATATATTCTATATTTCTAGAGTAGTTTATAAGTAAATTTATTCCTTTCCTTTATAGCTTCTTTCTTACTTAGAATAATAATATTATTAATAAAGAAAATAATATATATTAACCTCTCTTTATTAAAAAAGAGGTATAGTTCTTCTTTATATTATATAAGCCTTAGCTTTATTAATATACTAGTAAATTCTAAATACTAGAGGAGTAATAAGTCTTATAACCTATAAAGTGTTTAATTTAGTAGGATATTATAATCTACTTCTTTAAAATCTACTAGTAAGTTTATTATTTCTTAGAATCCTAGTAGTAGCCTATATAGGACTTTATTTAATAAGTCCTATCTACTAATATATAAAAAGGCATTTTTAATATTAAACTATTAAGAATTAAGGTTATATTTTACTATAAGTACTATTATTATTTAGAAGGTCTATACTACTAATATAGCTATATATATTTCTTCTTAACTATTAATTAGCTATAAATCCCCTTATATATAAATTTATACTTTATACTTAATTAAGACTCTATTAGTATTAAATTTATATATAAATACCTATTTAAGAGGTAAAGTATATCCCTTTTTAATATTTCTATATTTATAGGTCTAGGTTTTTATTTTATTAAAGGCCTATATTTTATTAAGACCTACTTCTCTAAATTAGGTCTTAAAAGTATACCCTTTAATCTTATTCTACCCCTAAGGTAGGGGTAGTAAATTATTAGTATAGTATAACTACTTATTTTTTCTAATATTCTAAGTCTAATTATTATCTAATTATCTATTTTAAAATATATATTTTAATACTATAAATAATATCTATAATTCTCTATTACTATATTTTTTTAGGTTAGTATAGTAAGGATTAGCTATATACTCCTTCTTTTTAGTAATAGTCTTTAGTAATTAGAGTATAGTAAAGGCTAATTTTATCCTTTTCTATACTAGCTCCTAGCTATCTTTAATCTTCCTTTTAATCCTTTTACTTCTATAAATAGTCTCTTTAGGAATAAAGATTAGGCTTTCTATAGTTACTTTCTAAATTTCTAGTTATAATTTAGAGTCTTTTATAACTATATTCTATAAATATAGATTATAATCCTCCCTAATAGGCTCTTCCTAAGTTATTAGCTTATCCTTATTAAGTAGGTATAGACTTATCTCCTTATCTTAAGTAATAAAAGGCTAAATTCTTATTTTCTAGGTATCTTTTATATATAAATCTTATAATTCTAGTCTTATTTAAGGGCTAAATAAATATATATATATTTAGTTATCTTCTTTTACTCTTAAGGCTAAATTATTAATATCTTTTTCTTAGCTTATATTCTTAAATAGTTCTAATATATCCTTAAGTAAGAGTATATTATCTATCTTATTACCTATTACTATCCTTATATTACTATTATTTTTAGTTTTTACCCCTAATATTAAAGATAGTATATTACTTTCTAAAGTTCTAATATTACTTAGGTTTACTTCTTAAGTTTATATAGTATATCTATTAGATATTATAATATCTTATATTTTATAATTACTTTATTTAGATTTACCTAAATCTTATAACTTATTTTAAGGATTTAGGTTAAGGATAGTATCTTATAAAGTTATTAAGAGAAAATATTTAAGTCTAAATTCTATAGTTAGATTTTAACTTTCTACTTCTATTAGGGACTCTATCTCCTCCTCTAGTTCTAACTTAGTAATCCTATCCTTATCCTTTATTTTTAAAGAATAGAATATATTTTTATTAAATTTAATATTCCTTATTATAATAATATAGTTAAATTAAGGTATCTATATTTAGTATAGGTTTAATACTATATAATTAACTAAATAACTAATATATTCTTTAGGGTATACTTTAAAGTTCCTTTTATTAACTCCTTTTTTTTATTCTTAATTAAGAAGGTATACTTAGTATTTATATATATACTATCCTTTTATACTAATCCTTTTACTAATTATATACTTAGTACCTTATCTACTCTCTTTAAATTATAAATTTATTTTTTATAATAGTAATTTATATCTATATACTTTCCTTAGGCTATTTCTAAGTAAAAAGGCAGCTATTTTTACTACTTTAGACTATAAGGCTATAAGTAGTCCTAAAGATATTATTAAGATAAGTGTTTTCTTAATAAC